CCCCCCCCCCTTGTTGCTACGGCTCTGAGAAATAATAAACCGAAAAATATTTACCGATTTACAATTTTTTAAATGTTATATCCATGTAAATGCCATGATTTCGTAAGTCAGTCTGTTTTGGAACTTTATGACGTTTGTTTGTTTTTTATTTCCGATTGATTGACATAAAGTAGTTTTGGGTTACCTATGCACTAGGCGCGCAAAGGACACTTGGGAGAAGTCGACGACGAGCGTAAAACGTTAAAAGTTTTGTTTTATTTGGGACTTTTTTAGTCTTTTTTTCGAGTATTGAAATCTGTTAAATAAATTGTTTATAAATCCAGTGTGTCTGTTCTGTTTTGAGAACAATTTGGTCCTTCGAGAGCCGGATTTTATGGCAATAAAGACAAGATTTCGTGACTGACAGTTCGACATTTTGAGTTGAACACGACAAATATGAGTGATAAACAGCAAGATATTCAACCAGAAATTTTAGCTATGGATAAACCAGACCTCCCTGTTGAACAGGAGCCTCGTAAAGATGAAACTACGACCGAAGGTCTCGAAGAAACTGGAAGTACGGCGAGTAAAAAGGTTAGAATGTTGCGTAGTCGCAAAAAATCAGCAAAAACTAGACTCACTAAAGCTAGAAATCAACTCGCAGACCTTGTAGACAAGAAAGATCTTGGACTAGGCAGCTTAGCAACTAAAACTGAAATAAGAAAAGCAGTTTTCAAAGTTGAAAGCGAGTTCAATATTATTATCAAGCTAATTTATAACCTTAAAGAAATTATTGCACTTGAAGACAGCGATGAACAAACGGATATTGACGAGATTATTGAAGCCCTTGACAAAGAAGTAGAACTAACGGATATTGTTGACACTGCTGTAAAACGTGCTAAAGAGCATATACAACAACGACTAGCGATGGGTGAAGAAAAATCGGATACAGCCTCATTTTTATCAAAGGACAATTTTAATGATGATCAAAGTTCAATATTATCTATTCAATCCTCATTGGCATTGAAGAGACGTAAAGAAGCTGAAGAGTCAAAGGAGAGACTTTTAGCTTTAGAAAAAGAACAGCAACAAGAAGAGGAAGAACTGCAAAGGCGAGTCGCTGCACTGCAACTAACCAAGCAAAGAACCGAAGAAGCACGACAAGTGGTGGTCATCAATGAAACAAGAGCAACTGCAGCTGAAAACGATGCAACGACTGAGGCGGAAGCGGTGTCTATGAAAAACCTAGAGTCGCACAAAAAGCAGTTTGTGTTTGAAATGCCTGACCTTCCTGCCAAACAATGCCCAGCTGAAACCGAACATCTTCAACGACGACTTGCACCCATAAAATTAAAAGGGGTAGAACTGCCTACATTTTCAGGAGAAGTCAAAGCGGACTATGCACCATGGAAAGCCGCGTTCATGTCAGTTGTGGACGAGGCTGCTATATCTACGAAAGAGAAAATGCTGCGCCTCCAGAATAGTTTGACGGGAAAAGCATTAAGGATGGTTAAGGACTTGGGTTTCACTGTCAATGCATACGAGAGGGCGAAAGAGAAACTAGAGAAAAAGTACGGCGGGGAAATAAGACTTCAGATATCAAATCTGACGACACTTCGTGGGTGGTCGAAATTGAGACCAAACAACTTAGAGGATATGGAAGAATTCTTGGCACTATTGGACAGAGTATTAGTGTCATTACGAGATAGTGGACATGGAGCAGAGACGAATGGACAGAATCTTAATTTGACAGCGAAAGAGAAATTGTCAGCAAAGGATGTTGAAGCATATAAATACTGGTTGTTTGAACGAAGTGAACGAGACACCTTCGAGAATCTTGTGAGTTGGCTGGAGATGAAGGTGCAAATAATGGACGAGACCAAAGACGAGAGGCGAGACGACAAGAGTGCTGACAAGGTTGAGAAGAAAAGACGAGATTGTGGATTTGGTACTAACAACAAGCGAAGACCAAGAGGATGTGTGGTAACGACCTGTAAGGAAGACCATCCGCCATGGGTCTGCCCATTATTTAAGAAAATGACTGTTCTCGAACGAAAAGAGCTTATCTCGAAAAGTGGACGGTGTTTCCGATGCCTGGCAATGGGGCATCAAAGTAGAGATTGCAACAACGCAAGAAAGTGTGGAATTGATGGCTGTACAAGCGACCGTCATAGTAGATATCTTCACGAGAATAACCAGCTACGACCTGATGACTCGTCAACCCACCAAACTCGGAGCAAGAACCCTGAGGATTCCTCACCCCCCATTACCAAACCTCAAGATGACGCCCGAGAGACAACCCACGCAACCAACAAAGTCGACAATGTATCGTTGATGGTCTTACCGGCTCTCATCACGAATGGAAGAAAGAAATTGAAAGTAAACGTGATGTTGGATCCTTGCTCTACTGGAACTTATGTGACAGAGAGTGCTTCGCACGAACTTGATTTACGCGGCCAAGTTCAAAGTTTGACAATTTCCGGGACGGGTGGATCTCAAGTCAAGAAACAATCTCGCCGAGTTGAACTGTCCGTGACCAGTCTTAATGAAGAATTTTCAACTAAGTTGCATGCAAACGTGCTTAAAAATATCACAGGAGAGACTCCTGCATTTCAGTGGTCAGAGCTGAAGGGAAAGTGGCCACACATTGAGTCAATTCCTTTCGATAGTATATCGAGAGGGAGTCAGATTGATGTCCTCATCGGGAGTGATCATCCTATCGTCCATCCTAAAGATGATGATCCTATCGCACGACTGACCAACTTGGGTTGGGTCTGTTTCGGCCCAGCACTGTCTTCCAGATTCCGTAGTGACACTCGAACTCATACTAACAGAACATACCAGGCAGCAGACGCCTCCTCAACCGAGCAAGCGACCAATGACGCACTACGAAGATTCTGGGATCTTGAATCATTGGGCATCAAGGATGACTCGGGTCAACCAACATTGACACCTGACGAGCAAGCCGCAGTTGATCAGCTTCAAGAAACACAAAAGTTGAAGGACGGGAATTATGAAATTGGAATTCCTTGGCGAAAATTTGAACCGAGGTTCAGTGAAAATTACGACATGGCGTTATCCAGGCTTGAGAGCCTGGAAAAGTCTCTATCGAAGAAAGGCCCTGGGGTGAAGACAGCTTACCAGTGAATCATCGACGACTATATAGCAAAAGATTACATAAGAATAGTGACTAAGACAGATGGAAATCAGTGGTTTCTGCCACACTTCCCGGTTGTAAGAGAAGATAAATCTACTACCAAGGTTCGTGTTGTGTTCGACGCCGCCGCTCAACACAAGGGAAAGAGTCTCAACGATGCTATTTTACCTGGCCCGAAGCTACAACGCGAGTTGTTCGATGTGTTAATACGGTTCCGTCGTGCTCCAGTGGCTCTCTCAGCTGACATATCAGAGATGTTTCTGCAAGTTCGATTGCGAGAGGAAGATCGTCCTTTTCACCGGTTCCTGTGGCGGAGTTTCGAGACTGCAAGAGAACCAGATGTGTATGAGTTTCAACGCCTTCCGTTCGGGAATACTTCATCGCCATTTTGTGCTCAACATATGATGTTGCTCACAATATGCACGTCCAAGCTCATGCCACAGAGTATCCAAAGGCTGCCGAGACAGTCGACAACTCGATGTACGTGGACGACGTCCTCGATTCGTGTGAGACCACCCAAGAAGCCCAAGTTCTACAAAGTGAACTGTCGATCGTCTTACGCAAAGCTGGTTTTAATCTTAGAAAATGGTTGTCTAATGAGCCATCTGTATTGAAAGATGTACCGTTTGAAGATAAATTGGCAAGTCTCCATGTTCTGGCCTGCATGCGGGTTTCCTGATCTGATGAAGGGGCCCTGAACAGCTACGAGCCTTGAAGGATCAGAACACTCCAAATCCAAGATGAGGATCTTCCTGCTCATAAAACGTTGGGAGTACTATGGAAAGCAAAAGAAGATACATTCACTTTTAAAGTCGACGTACCTGAGACCAAGGGAAACCCAACGAAGAGAAGCGTGTTGAGTGCTATCGCCGCCTTATTCGACCCTCTTCAATTCCTCGCACTGTTCACAGTGCGACCGAAAGTCCTGATGCAGGAGTTATGGATAGCAGGTATTGGTTGGGACGACGTGTTACCCAGTCAACTTTAAGTGAAATGGAATCAGTGGATCTCGGAACTTCCAGAGCTGTTGCAGTTCACGATCCCTCGCTGCTTACGACAACCAAATCCGAAAGAGACTGACCTGCATGTATTCTCTGATGCCTCTGAGAATGCATATGCAACGGCCGCCTATCTCGTGAGTCATTACCCCTCAACACCACCTACATCCTGCCTCATTGCTGCTAAAAGTCGTGTATCCCCAATCAAAGCTACAACCATTCCTCGACTGGAGCTGATGGGAGCTGTGCTGTCAACTCGAGTGGCGAAAAGCATTACACAAGTTCTCTCAGTTGCAACTGTTAATTTTTGGACGGACTCGACTAACGTTTTATTTTGGGTTCGCAACCAAAGTCGCAGCTTTAAGCCTTTTGTGGCCAACGACAGACCCAACGCAGTGGAGGCATGTTCCCGGAAAGCTTAATCCCGCTGATCTGCCAACCAGAGGTGCCTCCGCCAAAGATCTCATCGAAAGCAAGTTCTGGAAAGAAGGTCCTGAATTCCTGAAAGCGGACAAGTCAACATGGCCAGAAAAACTACCAACGACAGTCGTTGATGAATTCGAGCATAGCGAAGGGAAAAGGGTGTCAAAAACACATCTCACCCAGAGCCCCAACGAAGATACCACGAGCGAAGTTTTTATGGACCCCACAAAGTATTATTGTCTCCAACGCCTGGTCCGTGTTACAGTGTGGATATTACGGTTTGCAAGGAACTGCAAGTTGTCAAAGGAAAGGAGAGTACTAAGCGCAACACTCGTGTCAGAGGATATCACCGAAGCCGAGACCGTGTGGCTACGATGAACACAAGCAGAGTCCTTTCCAGATGGAGAGAAACAACAATCGTTAGCACAACTAAATCCGAAGACAGATAAAGACGGGCCTGTTGCGACTAAACGGTCGTTTACGTTATGCAAATGAGTTACCTTACGATGTCAAACATCCGATTCTTCTTCCCAAAGATCACCCCGTCACCAGGCTTGTTATCAACTACGAACACTCCAAACTCGGTCACGGCACTGGTACAGAGCACCTTCTAGCAGAGTTACGAACGAGGTTTTGGATCGTTAAAGGATGACGAGCGGTGAGAAACGTCATGGAAGCTTGTCGCGGATGTCGACGTCAATTTCGAGCTAAACCAGTCGGACAAATGATGGCCCCGCTTCCAGAAGCAAGATTGAAATTGCCCCTCCGAGCATTCGAGCGTGTGGGAGTAGACTACGGAGGTCCCTTCCTCACAAAACAAGGCCGACGAAAAGCGAAAGCCAAACGGTATCTGTGCCTATTTACCTGCCTCAACACTCGCGCGGTACACCTCGAAATGGCGTATTCTCTAGACACGGATTCGTTCATTAATGCTTTTATCCGGATGACTGCAAGGAGGGGGACGCCAACGTACGTCGTATCGGACAACGGAACGAACTTTTTCGGTGCGGAAAGAGAATTACGTGAGCTGTTAGAAAAGTTCGACCAAGACAAAATCATCAATGCAACAACATGACCGCATCACAGCATCGAATGGAAGTTCAACCCCCCATCAGCGCCGCACTTTGGAGGGGTTTTCGAAGCGATGATCAAGAGTAGCAAGAAGGCGATGAGAGCAATCCTTGGCGACGCAAGTGTTACAGACGAAGAGCTTCACATAGCTATCGTTGGAGCCGAAGGTCAACTTAACTCTCGTCCGATTACCTACGTTAGTTCTGATGCAAACGACCTTACTCCACTGACCCCGAACCATTTCATCGTAGGACAGCTCGGGGGACAATATGCACCGGAAGCTTTAGACGTCGACGAAGCCTGCAATCCACGGAAACGGTGGCGTCGCGTTCAGCAATTACTCGGCCAGTTCTGGGCCCGCTGGAGAAAAGAATTTCTGCCAAACCTCAACACACGTGGAAAGTGGTATCATCCTCGACGAAATATGAAAGAAGGAGACGTGGTATTGCTCATGGATCCCAAAGTTAGACGTGGAGAATGGCCCTTGGGACGCATCACTGAAGTTCACCCGGGGAAAGATGGGTTAATTCGCGTAGTTAAAGTTAAAGTTGGCGAAAGTATTTACGAACGTCCAGTACATCGATTGTGCCCACTTGAAAGTGATGATTGAAGAACCCGATACATTAATCTAGAGTAAACGAACTGGACTTAATTAAAGCGAACACTTCGTATTCGGGAGGGGGATGTTTTGGAACTTTATGACGTTTGTTTGTTTTTTATTTCCGGTTGATTGACAAAGTAGTTTTGGGTTACCTATGCACTAGGTGCGCAAAGGACACTTGGGAGAAGTCGACAACGAGCATAAAACGTTAAAAGTTTTTTTTATTTGAGACTTTTTTAGTCTTTTTTCGAGTATTGAAATCTGTTAAAATAAATTGTTTATAAATCCAGTGTGTCTGTTCTGTTTTGAGAACACAGTGTAATATATTAATAAAATTTCAGAGTGCATTCCATGTAAACTCTACGCCGAAGATACGGCAATATTAACTATAGATAGTATAGTAAATATTTGCTGAACTGGCAAACTCGTGTATTATAAAATATGTGGGACATATATTTGCACAAATTTGGTATTTAAATATATAATATGTGGTATTTGACTACTTACCAGATGAGGATAAGATTCCATGTTGATAAATAACTTCAGAATAAAAAAAAAGACAGCCAATTCGAGATAAATTGATAAAAATATAAAGATATTTTTGAAAGAATAACACGATTTATTCACGAGGCCTGACGAGGCTAAAGTATGCCCGTTCGCAGGTTAGATGCGGGCACAATGTAAACAATTGATGTAAACGAATCGCTGATTGGCTTAAATTATATAAGCTCGTCGCTGAATGGCTAGGGATACGGTACGGTACGGTCACGTTTGCGATAGCAATATATCTGCTTCGCAGATACAAAAACCAAGTCACCCTAAACACGTAAAGATGTAATATCCCTATCTATCCATTGGACTCAATTATGCGAATCCCTGTTTGCCTAATCATGTTAATTGCCTTAACCCGCGAAGAACTTATGCCCACAAAACCTCACCTGATTTTAAGGCATACACCCTGCTTAAGCAATTTAAATCGAATTATGGAGCTCAAAGAGAGAAAAATATTTTGTACGGAATGGGGTTCGAACCCAAGAAGTGCAACATATATTAGATCTGCATTTACAAACATCCTTAAAGCATTTGGGCAAAGTCATTCAAGAAACATATTTGTAATCAATCAATAATTTATTCAAAGTACCTACAATAATATTGAGGCCCTTGCAGGAGATCTGGAGGTTAACCCTATATAAAGATCACCTTTACCTATTACTAAGTTAAAATACCTAAATGTTAAATTACAAGTACATGTCCATGTTCGACTTCAGTTCTCTTTTAAATTCTCTAATGTTATTTACTTCTACAACCGAGCATGGTAAACTGTTCCAGTCACTGATAATCCTTACAAATAGTGAGTATTTGTAACAATTAACTTTGGGTAGTTTAGGATATAAGGTGTATTGGTGGTTAGATCTTGTCCTCTTGGAGTGTCTATATTCTAAAACTTCGCTGAATATTATGCCGCCATTAAGTTCAAATACTATCTTGTAGCACTCTACTAGGGAAAGAAACTTTCTACGTTTTTCTAGTGTGTCCCATTTTAGCAATTTACAACGTTCGTTGTATGGCATTTCGCCTCGTTTCTGTTTCAGAGCAATTCTCGATGCTCTTCTTTGAACACGTTCTAGGGCTTTCACGTCTTTAACCAGATATGGCGACCAAACTGGCGCTGCGTATTCCAAGACAGGTCTCACCAAGGATTTATATAATGTGGAAAAAATGCTCGTACTTGAAAAACCGATAGTCCGTTTAATTAAACCAACAATGCGGTTCGCTTTCTTAACTGTCGAGGCAACCTGATTACTCCATGATAGATCACTAGATACAATTACACCTAGATCTTTAAATTCGTTCACCACTTTTAGTTTCTTGTCAGACAGGTAGTATTCAGGTATTGATTTATGATGAGTTATCTGCATAACTTCGCACTTATCAAGATTGAAGCTTAATTGCCACAAATTTGTCCACTCGCTCATACGGTTCAAGTCTGACTGAAGTATTTCCCCGTCGTTCTCTGGGTCCGATAGCTTTCGGTACACTTTTGTATCATCTGCAAACAGCTTGACGTGACTTACAATTTCATTCGGGAGATCGTTGATATAGATTAAAAACAGAATAGGTCCTAAAATTGTTCCCTGTGGTACCCCTGATGTTACATTGGTCCATTTCGAATACGATCCCCGAACTACTACTCGTTGTTGACGATTTGTAAGAAAGTTTCTAAACCATTTCAGTAAAGCCCCTCCAATACCGTGCTGTTCCAACTTATACAGCAGACGTTCGTGTGGCACGCTGTCAAACGCTTTACTGAAGTCCACAAAAACAACATCGGTTGCTTTTGTATTGTTTCTAGTCTTTGCCCAGTCGTTGTAGCATAACAATAATTGGGATAAAGTAGATACATAATTGGGATAAAGTAATACATTTAATAATAACAGATTTTGCTAGCTTTTGCTATTGTTACAATACAATCATCATCTCTACATTTACATGGTATATTGCATGGCATTTTGCAGGTTGCAGGTTGGAATTTTGCAGGTTGCGAATTTTGCAGGTTGGAATTTTGCAGGTTGCCAGGAACTTTGCAGGTTGATAATGCAAACTTAAAAGTAGTTTAGTATTCTAGTATAATTTAGTTGTGCATTTATTGCAGTCTGGGGGTGCGTTCCTTTAGTGCAATCCAGATTTGGATCTTCACATCTGATTATCGATTTTCAGTTTCATTTGACAAAATCTTAAAATAGATTCCGAATCTGATGAATCCACCTCAACATATGGATTTTTCGGATTCAATCTGAATCTTGATTAGGATTCAACATTCCTTTTGAGCTTCTGAGCTTCTAGCATGCACCATGACCCAACCGAGAGGTACAGTGGGACAGAAAACTTATTGTAAAGATAGCGGGAGAACAGCAGGCGAATTCAGATTCTCACAATTCGTTCCATTTGTTTGACGAATCCAAAGAATCCAAATCCTAAAAATCCAAATCTAGATTTACAAAAGAAACGCAACATGACTCCTTGTCGGCACACCTGCTCTAAGGCTAGTGGCCATCACCCCCGTGAAAACATTCAAAATGACCAGATTGGCTTGGACCTACAGGGAGATGAATGTTTTGATTGTTGCTAGGTGCCTACATGATGTGGCGGCATTTATACTAGAATCTGTTAAAAGTTAACTAACTCTTGAGTAAATTGATACGGTAATTGGGGCCTTGAGTGGTCTCATAAGTGGGTGCAGAGGAGAGACACTTCATTCAGGCATTTTCTTAACTGCCATGTAGGCTCCTTGCAACAATCGAAACATTCGTCCCCCTGAAGGTCCAAGCCAATCTGGTCATTTTGAATGTTTTCACAAGGGTGATGGCCACTCCTTAGAGCAGGGTATCAACTATTTCACTGACCTCAGAATGACATTTCGTAAAAACTTTTTTCTTCAAGATTGGTTTAGAAACAAATTTGGAGTAGGGTTAGGGTAAGGATTAGGTTCAGGGTTAGAGTTGGTGTTAGGAGTAGGGTTAGTATTAGTAAAACCATTGCTTTGTTACGTTTTGTCACTCTAAGGCCAGCAAAATAATCTCTTCCTGCAGAGGCTAGAAACATGGTAGTAGGATAGGCTGATATCAAAACCGCTGACAAGGAGTCAGACTGCAATAAGTACACAATTAATTAAATTATACTACAATACTTTATAGTAGTGTAATTTTCAGTTTGCATCATCAACCTGCAAAATTCCTGGCAACCTGCAAAATTCCAACCTGCAAAATTCCAACCTGCAAAATTCCAACCTGCAAAATTCCGAATCTGCAAAATTCCAACCTGCAACCTGCATTTTGTACCTGCCGCATGATGACGTATGCAGTTGTGACACTGTGCGCTCTTCCTATCTGTAAATACTATAAACAATGTAGCTTCAACTGCATTCAATTGGGATTTTTTGATAATTTAAACAAAATCCAAATAAATCTGCCTTATGTAGATGCAATACATTGGTTAAATCAATGCAGTGATATCACCATACGACAATTTATCGCTTATAAGTCGCCAAAATGCAAAATCAATGTTGTAGTAGCAGTGTAGGTTTGGTTTCAGATGTCGTTAGTTGTGGCATATTGTAGATATTTTCGTTGTATATAGTCCATTGTAGATAGTTGGATATAGTTAGAATTTATACAGTCCGTACTATGACGGAATAGGCAAAATGAAATTAATTGAAGTAAACGAAGTTGAGTATACCGGAACGCAATAAACTATTAGGAATAGGCCTATAAGTACTAAAGTACCTCAGTTCGCACGTCATACAGAAAGCTTATTGCTTGTTAACGCTTCAAGTGTGTCATGTTTTCGTCCATTTGCGTTTGCTGAAACGTGCCATATCTATATGCTGTTTGTGCACAATTTATTCCTTATAGTCACTGGTTGTTTACTAGCTGCGTCAAATGAATACTATTCTAGGCCGTAATTAATTTAATTCCTTCTGGCCTTATCAGTCAAGAAATTATGTTTTCACAACAGGCGTATTAACCACCGAGGCCCGAGTGCACTATATATACTTCTTAGTGGATCATACTCACACGACAGAGTCCGAGTGAAGAACCATTTATTTGACTAGGTTAATTTATACTTATAATTTACAATATCAGTTTACGTAACATAGTATACACTTTTTATCACGTTCTCAGTTCTCTGCTGTGATTATTTATATCCAGCCTGTTGTTTTGAGACGGAGACCTCTTCCTGATTTCATTATCCAGGCATGCTGGAAGCGGTCTAGAGTTTTCCAATCCAAGCATGCCGAATATCCATCTCACTATCCACCGATATACGCCACTGCACGAAGGTATCTAAACATTAACGTGCTTATGAAACGAAATTTTCGCCTCATTTTTTATTGTCTTATTAAAAGGTACTGCTTAAATGATGAAAAATAACGTTTACAGTTTGTTCGTAACTCATCTCATTCCCAAGTTATCGCACTTTTTATATTTTGAGTTGTGACGTCACTAGTTTGACTCAGAACAGTGGCAATAACAAGAAAATCTGATATCTTGATGGTCATTTAATAAAATTAAATGAAACTTGGCACACTTAGGGGATGCAACAAAGTGAACAATTTGGCTTGTTTATATGGTTGTTATGGCAACACACTCATCCCCAGTCCCTTCTCTTCCAATTTCTATATGATCCATTTCCAACAAAATAAATAGTAATTTCTGCAATTGTCGCTTATTACTATAATACGTGTAGCTATCGTAATCAGTTTAAACCGTTATAACATGCAAACATCCTCTGCAAGAGGTCTACAGGAGGAAATTTGTGAAATGGAAGAGAAGAGACTGGGGTCTAGTGTGTTGCCATGACAACCATATGACCTTCCAAAAATATTCATATGGGGGCACCCACTAAGCATACCGAGTTTCATTGAATTTTATCAAATACTCACTAAGATATCAGACTTTCTGGTTATTACCATTATCTCAAGTCAAACTAGTGACGTCACAACTCAAAATATAGAAAGTGCGATAACTTGAGAATGAGATATGAAGAAACTGTAAACATCATTCTTCATCGCTGCAGCAGTACGTTTTAGCAAAACAATTAAAAATGAGGTGACAATTTCGTTTCATAAGCACTTTAACAATCAAACACTGAGTTATTACCTTCATGAATGCACTGTTACACACGACGGTGCTGTTATACACACTTTGTTTATATATTTCAAAATAGATTAAAATACATAGATTAAAATACACGTTTCAAAATCTTACAAAATACAACCATTTGTGATTTTTGCGAATATATAGAAAATACTGATGAAAACTGACCAAAATTCAGTGAAATTAATTTGACTTACTGTACTCATTTTGCCTGTCTTGAGTTCTGCTTGTTAATTTGCGGTTATATACTGTTCGAGTGTTCGGTGCGTAATAACAGGATAGTCCCAGTGCTGTATAATACATTCAGCGTCTTTTCCATCGTACGTAAGAATCTCTTCACAGCACACGTATCACTACAATCAGTACAATGCCCACATGTGCACCTAAAATCAATTCACATGTTAAACGAAACACGCTAATAAATAATTCGAGAAACGCCTTGATATTAGACTACTTTGTTAAACTTACCATGAACTAACAGCTATGGTTTTCGTAAATCTCGCCTCAAGACCGTCTTTGCCTGTTTCGTCTTCCTCATAGTAGTCATTAGTCACTATCAGCAACTGGCTCGAACTGATAGGGCTGTACAACAGATGATTGCGGCTCAACAACGTCCTCGTTATCTGTCGACTGTTCTGTATCTGTCTGTGATTCAAAGCTTTCGCTATCGGACATTTTTTTCGTTTTTAAGGAGAAATATACAAGCTACTGTCTTGCGATTAGTGATATTTTGTAGTTTTCATTCAAGTAAACACTACAATGTGTCACACCGTGGTCACACTGCATATGTCACAAGGCCGGAATTTTCGGTACCAGTCTTTCATCAGGTTACGATTCAAAATAGCTGTATTTGTCGTACATTTTAGGTCATTTTCAATACTTTTACAGCGCTTTTACTAACAAAAAATATTTTTACCTAGTTAAGGGAGGTCATTTCTTTCCAAATTTCGAAATTTAAAATTTTTCATTTTTCCTTGCATATACACTTTAATGTGTCACAATAAAAGAATCTCATGGGCAAAGAATAAATTTTTATATTTTAAAATGACTTACATAGTCCACATGTACAATTGGAATATCTTCTTCTTGCTCCTCATTATCTGCTCGAATATCTTTTTGTTGGGGTCGGATCCTCTTAATTTCCTTTGTGCATATGGTGGGACACAGGATTGACTCCTCCCCTCCATGGTGATATAGGAACAGTTGATATCCACAAGTTGCCAATTTATGAAATTTTTGGATCAATTTGTCATGGCAGTGTGCACTTTCTCCATCCAGATTAAAAGAAAGAACAGCATCACCAAGACCTGCATTGCTTTGCACAGTCCTGTCTCTAACTGTTGTAGGTGGTTTTTCATCATTACATTTTCCCATGCACATGGACTTAAGGGAACAGGTAGCAACTTTCTGTTTTTTCCCCTTTATTGGACTTTGTTCTTGCAGGAGCATAATTAAACAAATTTCTATGTTCTGTGACACTCCAATGGGATGCAACAGGCACAGATGCAGGAGCACACACTGAAATAGCTGATGGAACTGGTGTTGGTAATACCGATTCTTGTGTGGTGAATGTAGATGGCACATTTTTGCTGTGTCTAAAATATAGATAAGAAACAAATTTTAAATTGAAAAATTAATAGGCAGGAACTAATTGAAAAATTTTAAAACACTTGGCACTCCCTGAAGTTTGGTGAACCTATGTCCTATACAGTAGTTACATGAAATTGATGGTATAGTACCTTTTCAACAAATACCCTACCCCAAATTTTGGATAGTTTAATTATTGTAATATAATTACAATCTAACATGTCAAGGCAAGCATCCCAATTACAGAAATTTACATTATAAGTCTTTCACAAAATAATTTGACTACAAATCTACCATGGGCTATTACATTTAAAAAACATACCCTATACCCTCCCGCAGTTCATAACAATTAACACATGTTTGTTGTAGGTTTAGCTTTTTTTCAACAAATATAACATTGACGTGCTGAACCACAGTTATTAACTGTGGTTGAACTTAAGTCATATTTCGTTTGAACAGAATTAGCATATTTTTGTTTTATCAGGATGAAAACATTTATATACAAATTTGAATAACACATGAGATGCAATATGAATTATTGATGAAGACAAACAGTTTACCTCTATGTTGAGCATTCTTCTGCAAAGTGTTTAATCTTTCTGCTAGTTGCAGCAGAGTTGTTCACACAGAACCTCATTTGGAATAGGATTCACCCAGAAGCGCAAATACAAATTAATTTTGGGTTTTAAATTCATTCATTTCATTGAGAATGCAAACAATGTTGTGAAAAACGCAAACATTGATGTTGAAAATAAGAACATTGATGTTTAAAACGCAAACATCGATGTTGAAAATATGAACATAGATTTTGGCAGAGATTTGACGCCATGCTAATCCGCCAAAATTCAAGTTTATAGTAATGATGATACACAAATGTTGATGTTGAAAATGCGAACATTGATGTTGAAAATGCGAACATTGATGTTGAAAATGGGAACAGTGATGTTGCAAATACAAATGTTGATGTTGCAAATACAAACGTTGATGTTGAAAATACAATAATGTTGAAGACGTGAACATGAATTTTGGTGGAGATTTGACACCATATACAGTAATTACACTCACATAATCATCGTCTTCATCTTCCAAGTCATTTGTTTTTCTCTGAACAGAACGAAATGCATACATTAATACACAACATATCTTCCTCCTGTAGGAATTTGGTCATTTAATTAACTCTGTGTGGGTATGAAAATTTGGGGAGGAATTCGCCAAGAATTTTGGAATATTCGGAAATTTTCTTCGTCATTCGGAAATTTTTAGCCTACCCCCCCCCCCCAACTATAAATTCTAGCTACGGCACTGCCAGAGCCCCAGATGTGAAAATTAATTGGAGATTCATTTCCACAAAATTGAGACAAAGTCTGTGATAGTTTTAACTTGTACAGGCAAGCCTTAGTTCAAGGACCATATATATGGTTCCACCCAACCCTTAGACCTGTAACACTCTTGTAAAATTATAGAGTAGGGAGATTGTATTATTGTTGCAAGTACTGCATGGTCAGTACTCATGGATGGTTATTGATAGCTACATGGAGTGTTAAGATAAAAAAAAATAGGCACGCAAAGCGTGCATGTATCTGCTCATGGCACAGATCCACTTGCAATGAAGAAATAATATCCTAATTTCTACAAGGTCTAGTTTGGTCTCAAAGTATTTTTAAGTTCTACATATACAGACATACAAAATGCATTTATTTAACTTGTAACTTTAAAGGAATAAGAAATTGATGTTTAAGTCAATATATTTTAAACTTAAAATGAAAATTAATGCCGAGCATAATGGACGCAAAAATGAAAATAATTTTTTTTAATCCCTCAAATTAACATATTTTATACACAGTTGAACAAGGTTTTATTATTAATTGTCAAATGAGGTTGGATTTACAACATGCCGGATGACAACATGAAATGGCTGATATAAACTCCACTTGCAGAAACCAATTCCATAACATAACGAAGATATTAATCTCCAATTTCTTGATGTTGTTGCTGAAATGTGTTAGATTCATAATCTTCTTGATAGTTAATAACATACTATAATCAGGTATTTCAATGAGGATTGAGGTGTTACCAATAGACACTCAGACAGTTTTAAATATCCTTTTAACCATGTTGTTGATAGATTACATCAAGATTATGATGGTAGTATTATAATTTAGGAATGTGATTGCCAGGGTTGATGGAACACAAATGAAGTGTTTATTCCAAGTAATTGTAGTAGCCAATACAGTAGGTCATACATTGGAGGCCATTCATCATTAACAAAAGTTGACAAGGTTGAAAATCAGGAGTGCAATCCATAGTTCTTAAATCGAAAATAATTCGATATATGGAATAATATGTTCAGATTTGTACATTGTGTGCCATTGGAAGGATCTCATTACAAAGCATGCGTGCTGTGATGTTTACATCTTCTTTTGGAAATATACATGTACTGTACCAATGAGTTTAAACTAAGATTGTTCTGCGAGTAGGGTGTACAGCCGTAGTTGTGACAAAGGTATCCGGCCATTATGCAGTTCATCCATGATTCATCTATAAATCCAAAATGTTCATGTTAGAACTTAGAGTGAAATAATTAGTAGTGTGATAGAACATGCAATAATACAGCAAGAGGGAGGGGGTGGGGGACGCAAAATTACTTACCTGGTGTTCTTGCTATTGACATTCAGTGGTAGACATAATGTGGACAACGGGGAAGGCAGTAGCACCCCCTCCAAGTTTTTAAACTCTTAATAGTGCAACTCAGTTTTATTGCTAGCCGAGGCAAGACATTTGGTAAAATGTAGCTACTAAGCTTTAGTTCAATGGAAGCAATTAATCAATGCACACACTGCTTTATGATCAGAGAAATAAGTTTCTAATATGTGTGACTTAGCTTGTGATTCTGGTAGATTTGTATAGATATGATCTATTAACGTCTTATTATCTGTGGTGAAACTGTCTACCAATTGTCTGTAGTTATTTTCGTTAATAAAGAAATTATATAAAGGACTTTTGTTGACTTCATCCAACCAATTTACATTAAAGTCACCCATGAAAATGTTAAATTGAGAAGTAGATAACATCAAAACCTCACTTAAGGCTGCTAACAGCTGCTGAACTGGAATTCTGGGTGATCGATATATACCTATAATGGTAACATGTGGAAGAATCATTACTTTCATAATAGTTATCTCAATGCCGTTAATATTACGACAACGTGGATATCCAGGCAAAAATTCAACTCTGCTAAAAACTGCCATTCCACCAAATGGTCTGGATGTTGAACAGTGACCATCATTCCTGAACAAAGTATAACCATCAATTTCATACATAATATTATCATCTGAGGTCATAATTCGTGTTTCTGAGAATATATTGATGTCAGTGTTTGTAAAATTTAGCTCATGTCGAACATCATCAATATGTTTGTGCAATGATCGAGTGTTCAGATAGCATAATTTAAAAGAGACTTGATTTATCTGATAAATAGGAGTGACACTAAGTTTCAGTGCACGTTCTTTCCTTAACATTTCCATTTCAGCTGCAACATGAGGATTGACAGCTATCTTTTCTTCACAAAGATCAGTGATAAATAAACCTTCAATGGTTGTTACCCTGCTTAAACCAACATAATGTATATGAGGTATGGCTCTTCTTGTAGTAAAATTGACAACAATGTTTTGTTCTGTGTCTCCTTGTGAACGATGAATTGTCTTAGCCGCAGCAGGTCTTAGTGGAAACTGTTTTCTTACAACTTGTGCTGTTTGATTCCTGCCAATACGAAATTGAGTAGTGATTGGTTTTATTGGAGTCCATGTTGAGTCAATACCTTGAACATAAAGATTTCTATTTTCATGTCTGGTTTTCTCACCAACATCTGAATGGTCAAACTGTACCCATATTACTCCTGATGGTTTATCTCTCTGGTTAAGTTGTATCTTCTTAACAACATTACTGGCACCATTAGTCATGCCATCATCAGTACGTACATTTAATGCTATCTCAGTTCTTTCTCCAACTGACAGTTGAAGGTTTGAAGCAATTTGCTTTGTTTTCCTTGGGTCATCTGGTATTTGACTCAAAATTTTATCTCGAAGCTGAGCAGAGTTTGCTCCTATGACACTGTCTACTGCTTTAATGGAAAACTTTTCGCCAGTTGCTGCATTATGAACCCTTTTATTAAATTCATTTACCTTCTGATTTTGTATGAATAAATGAGGCACATCCATTGGCTCCTGCATGCTATTTTCTTTGATTAATCTTTCTTTGAGTTTTAAAATGTCATTCTTGGTATGTTTGCCTTCCCTCAGCCTGTTTAGTATTTCAGCAAATACTTTGCTCTCTCTCTGCCTCATTATTTCTTGGAGTTCAAACATATTAAAGTAATCTTGCCATTTATTGAGAGCAAGAATTGCATATTCCGAATTATCTAGATTTTTAAATATGTACCTATCCATTACAGGTTCTAGTTGAAATAGATCACCAATTGCCACTATGCTTACACCGCCAAAGTCATCTTTACTTCCTTTAATATCTTTCAGTCTATTATTTATTTGAACATTAAACATTGTACTACCAACCATTGAGATCTCATCTAAAAATATAAGTTTTAAACCACCAAGCCGACATCTTAAACTGTTTAGCCTGCTCGAGTCAAGTGGTATGTAGTTCTTTAAGGATTGACATGCTGGTATTGCAAGTGCATTATGAATTGTGTTACCTTTAATGTTGAAAGCTGCTTTGCCAGTTGGAGCAAGCATTAATATTTTTACTTGATGGAAATCATCACCTGCTCTTGTGTTATAAAACTTCAGTGCTGCTTGATAAAGACACTTGGTGAGATGGGACTTGCCAACTCCCGCTCCTCCACTGAGGAAACAGTAGAATGGTTTCTGAGATATTTTGATAAGATGCAACAGATGATAGAAAAATTCCTTCTGTTCTTTGTTGAGTTTTTGCACCATACTTCTGTAAACATCATCCTGTTCTTCATGTAATATAAGCTGTTCAGTATTTGATGCAGTTGAAGGAATTCCAAGATCACCAGATAGGTCATAGTTAGCATTCAATTCTGGATGAAGGTCTTGCGTACCTTCAGATTCGTCTTGACGTTCAACGTTTTGCGTTCCTGGGGCAACAAGGTCATGATTATCATCATTATGATCCATATTATGAAGCTGATCTTGAATGTCATCCAGGTCTTCACTACAAATAGCATATTGTTTCATTTGCTCATCAATTGTGTTTTTAAGTCGTAAATAGTGCTCTTGGTAGGAGGAACAATCTTTAATTAAGTCAGTTGTTTCGTTTCTCCATGATGTGAATAACATAATTAGCTCACGGTAATGCTTCTCAGAATCAACATCCTTGTTAAAACAGACACTTCGGATAATTCTGGCTTTAGCTCTTTTTTTATTCTTTGTTTCACTTTCTTTTTCCTCATAATCATCATTATTATCCAAATTTGTCTCAAGTGGATAGTTATCAATATCTAGTTGACAAGATGGTTTGATGTATGGCTTACCACAAGCGTCGTACCATGCTGCCCAATCAGCCAGCGACAAATTTTCGAGTTTGGCTGGTCGTTTTGTGTAACGCTTTATTAGCCCAGATGCATAGATCTCATCAGGATCATCTTCCATATCATTAATTTCTTGCATTGGTTTAAGCAACTGAACTCTGTCTTCAGGAGGTAAAGTGTTGATAAATACAACTTGGCGAGACGATTTCCTCATTGGAAGTTGCAGCACTATGTAAGCTGCTTCTTGTGCACTTATTTCAACATTGTTCAAAAATTTATTTCCAATATCTCTCACTTGTTGCTTAATACTAGCATTCCCCTGCCTTGCTTCTTCACAAGCTGTTCTCAATAGCTCACTCATGCCTTTTTGGGCTTTAGATATATATGATACAATGTAAATTGCACATGCATACACATCAAGTACAAACTGTATGTCCATATTTGCACGCCATGCACTGAGACATGCAGCATTATAATTATTGATCCTTAATTCATTTGGTTTCCTTTTTAAAAATATAGTTGTGCCTTGAGGGTGGATCGAATAGCTAACAGATAATTTTGTTCTGTCAGTTTAAGTTTTACCAGCAATTGATCAAATGTAATATCCTCACCCTCTTTCATGTCATTCAGATGTTTCTTTATAAACTTGTAAGTATCTTCATGTTGTTCATTATCATCCATATCAACATCTAATGGATATAAAATGTTAGTTGACCGCATAGGTGGTTGTGGGTAATTAAAACGACATACACTTTTGGATTTCTTTCTACAAGTGTGGGAATGACGATGAACCTGCCTGTTGACAAGTGCAAGTAACTCTGCATTCTCAGTTGGCTTTTCACACGTGATAATTTTATCAATAAATAAGACAACATCACAATCAGAATCTTCACCAAATGTTGGAGCACTTTCTAGCCATATTAACATATGAATATGAGGTGATCCTCTTTGTTGATATTCAACTCGGTAAAACCAGTCTGCAATTTTTCCTAGAGGTGCAGAGTTAGTTAAGAGAAAATTTTGTAGAAATTTTTGTACCTGATAATCAAAGTGCCTAGCACATGTTACTGGATCATTCTGAATTAATCTGCATTTCTCTTCCCAATTGAGATTCTCAAGTTCATTGTCAGTGTATTCTTTGTTATCAAGAAGCTTACCAAGTATTCTCAGTAAATGAACCCATTGTGTTTCTGCGGAAGAGAAACTACAGAATAATGAAGCAGGTCCTAATTGTCTTATCATTGCAAATATATCCTTTTTGGCTTTTTCAAAATATGGAGGTGAACCCCTTACAGCTCTAAGAAATTTAAATCCTTGATCATGATGAATCATGTTATCTAATGCACCCTGTTGTTTTAGTTGACCAGTAGTGATTGTGTGACTATTCTGTTGACATTTTCTTAATGCAACTTGTGATTGCCCTAGCAAAATTTTCATTTGCAATTTCTTAGTTTTAAAGAAAAGATTTTCCACACACATTGCAGCCCTTCGGTCAGACCTTCTTAATTCAGATTTACAAATTTCACTATAATGGACTTTGGTTAGTCTTTTTGTATTGTCTGGTCTTTTCTGTCCGAGAAATATACCAGGATATGCTAATTCCTCTGAATACTTATCCCTAAAAATACTCATAGGCCTATTGCCTTCACCAGGTGCAAGATTCAAAATGTGCTGACGTTCATTATCAGTGAGAAAATCTGGAGATGTTAACATAGTGTCAGTGATTCCAGCAGGCATTTCTGCCTCATCTTCACTCCAGTTATTGTCCTCATCACACGTTAATATTTGCTGGGTCTTGTCTGCATTACAGTCAACATTTTCTGAACCCTCTGATATTTGATCATCACAATTATCATCAAACACCAAATTATTTGAATTGTCTTCAAGCCAAGTGTCATTGAAAGTTATACCTTCATCTTTATAAAGGTTACCATTATTTACAAGCCATCTGCCAGCCTCCGCTACTTTATTAGGTCTAACATTAAGTGACAAAGCTGAACTTTTGTATTGCAACTTTCTTTTTAGGTTTACTTTAATGGTGCTTGTTTCATTTGGTAACCTTGGTAACATGTTAACAGTATTAGCAACATCTGCTGGAACATTTACAATATTTCCATTAATTTTTAGTTGTCTACCTCTTCGAGCCTGCATCAATTTTTGAAATGCAAGTCTTGGAGCAAGCAATCTACATTCTAATTCATTTAAATAAAAAAATGAAGGCTTTTCTGGGAATTGCATCCCATTTATGGCTGCACAAGGAGGCACCTTATTATTTTTTAAGTGCTTATTACATGTTCGACACAACCACTCAACATTGTTGAGACTTTTTCTATTTAGTAATCTCTTTTGAGCATCAGGATTACTTTCCTTTAGTGATGCAGCAGGACCATAATTGGTCACAACATGTGCAAATATAAAGAGGACCTTGTGAGACAATATCATGAAATTTGGATATTAAACTTTGTAGTGGTTCAACTTCAGGACTTTTTTTCTTCCTGTATACTTCCCGTTTTCGTTTCCTGTATTCCTTCATGTATTGCCTTTTCTTTTCCTTCGACTCAGGGCTCTGTGTTGTATTAACTCGTTTTCGTTTCATGTATTGTCTCATGTACTGTGTTTTCATTTGTTTAGACTGCGAGATTTGTATCAACTGTTCAGGACTCACAGGTTCATTTCCAATTCTGTTGCTAATACTTGGATTAATGTTTTTTTCAACATTTCTGCTTGTATTTAATTGTCGTGTAGAATTTAACTCATTACGACATAAACTTGATATTGAAGAACATGGCAATGTTGATACATAATGGTACTCATCTATATGACCCAAATAGATATTAGTTAGTTGCTGTGTAGGTTCTACTGGTTGTATAATATTGTATTCACTAAACCCTTCACGTGTTTCAGCAATAGTAATTTTTAACTTAAGCTGGTCAGCAACAGCTTGTATAATCATAGCACCAGCCCATGTCCCTTGCATAGACATATCATTTAGGTATTCTAACCAAGAGATTTCAGTATTACTTTCAATAAATCTCTCAGGATTATCTCTCATATATGCAATACCAGCTGCTCTAACTTCTAAGTGTTGTTCAGGATTACCATATAACTGATGTGATACAGCTCGAAAGAAACAGTCACCATCACCACCAACATCAAATGGTCTTAACTGAAAGCATCTTAACCTTTGTTCTAACACTACATTTGATGACAGCCTGGTTGGAATGTTGTTTTGAACAGGACCAGGATTCAATTCAATATCTCCTGACAACATTAGTTTCCTTTGAGATATGTGATATTGTTGATTACCAACATTGTAATTACCTGGAATATGTATCCATTGATGGTTTAAAATATTACAAGAATGATGTTTTCCTGTTTTAATGCTTTTCTGAACTAAGTTAACAGATGGTTTAAAATATGCAAATGAATTGATAAAAATATGTTGCATATGCACATATTGAAAACAACATTGCTTGTAATTTTTAGCTATCTTGTTTAAAATGGATGATTTAGGAGTAGTTTGTACAAAATAATGCTTCAAAAATGGTCTACTTTCTCTCTTTCTCAAAGCTACTAAAATCCTGTTTAAAGGTAATCTAGAAGGTGCACGGTCTCGAAACTGCTTGACCTTTGCTTGTTTCGTAAATTTCCGTACAGTCGATCTGCAAGTATATGCACAATTATCTACATTTATACACTTGGTATAACAGGTATTGTGGGTAGAATTTAATTGTACCATATTATATCTATTTTGCTGATGAATTATATCAAATTTTGTTAATTGTTTCAGAAAGGATTGTTTTGATAATAGCAGTGGCACAATGGCTTGCTTTAGTGCAATCCTTGCAGTGGCACAATGGCTTGCTTTAGTGTAATACTCGCAGTGGCACAATGGCTTGCTTTACTGTAATATTTGCAGTGGCACAATGGCTTGCTTTACTGTAATATTTGCAGTGGCACAATGGCTTGCTTTAGTGTAATATTTGCAGTGGCACAATGGCTTGCTTTAGTGTAATACTTGCAGTGGCACAATCGCTTGCTTTAGTGTAACTAGCAGTGGCACAATGCCTTGCTTTGGTGTAATAATGGCACAAAAGGTGAAGTAGTAATAAACAATAAATGAAAATACTGGACAACAAAACCTAAAAAAAGCATAAATGCATATTAGTATTATATAAATTACCAGTTTCTGGTGATGCCGGAACGATGTGAATATATATATCAATATATATATAAATATATATATATATATAAATATATATATATATATATATATATATATATATATATATATATTTTTTTGAGGTCGATTACTGGATTTCTACTCCCCCCCCCCCCACTCCCAGTTCCGGAGTTTCTGACAAATATTATTTATATGTAAATGTAACTAAATATTGCGTATTTCTAAAAGATCATTTTGTAATCCAAAAACATCGTTGTTTTTAACAATGATTAACAATGTATTGTAAAACTTGATGAAATTAAATGAGTGATGCGATGATTCTATGCTCGATTCTATGGAAATGATGCCATGATGTGTGACGGTGTGATGGCAATAAAATATATTAACATTTTCTTAAATTAAACTGACCTCGTGTATTTTAAAAACTCTTGAATAGGCCAGTGCTCCAATAACGCCAAATAGACGACGAAGTTTTTTATTTCGGGTGAATAATTACAAATAAAAACTAATGTTTTATTAGAATAGAAACTTGTATAATTTCACGACTGGTCACAACAGCTCAGTGAAGCAGCCAAACAGAAACAGATCACGTGCAATAATCACGAGGCACCAAAATTTGTGCCAAAAGAGTGGTACTTCCACATTTCGAAATTGTGAAAGATTCGTTTCTATTTTCTATTATAAATTACAAAAAATCGATAACAATCTCTTGTTCTATAAATTTAAAGTTTTACTGTAAAAGATTTTAACAAAACTTTAACAAATCAATTTCTGCGCACTGTAACTTTGTTGAAATCACAATGGTTTATGTCGTTTAATATGAACACGTTTTCGGGTAAATTTCCATGGCAAATTTCCTATGGCCATATTTGGAAGTTATTTACATATATGGTAACCACATATGGAAGGTTAATTAATTGGGCATATTTGGAAAACTCGTGCAACGAAAGTTCTTTCTGCCGCTGCTATCGTCAAGGGAAGGTGGAGAATACACTTTTAAACAAGGGTAAGCAATGAAAAAACTTCTTTCTTTTACTTTTGTGGTGATTACTTGCGACAGTGTTTAAACTTACACTTGAGTTACATAGATATTAAGATTATGGATCGATTGTTCCATCATCCTGATCCATGCACAAACCATGGGACTGATGGGAATTCAAAGTCACAGATTTGCGTCCGGACAATTTCAAATTTTGAAAAAGCATGCGGCCTTTTTTATTATTCATAATTTTTTGATTTACCATTGGCATTGTTTTATAGAAAAATTAGATCGACGGCCATAGTGACACGGGTCCTTCAGTGGTTTCTATAGCCCGATTAATACGCTTTAAAAATATGTGTCGTGCGCAACACATTTGGTATTTATATTGATGCGGATCGGCAATTCGTAAGGTGGAAAACGTTTATGCAGTGTTGTGATCATACTTACGCTACAATAATCCTTTTGCAAATTTAATGCATGGAATTTGAGTTTATGTGACAGAGCATTATTTGTGAAAATAAGTTGTGAAATTTTAGGTTGTAGCTTTTGAGGGATGTGGGTGGGCGGGGACGCAAATCCCCATGGCCTTATAATAAAATGAATTATTTATATTTAAAAGCATATAATGTACACGGTGTCCCAAAAAAGTGACCATAGAAATTATCCTATTGTTATATTATACACCCTTCACTTGTGATAGTAATTTCTAGTTATAATTTGAATGCCTAGCTGAGCACTATGCTGAACACAAGAGTGTATAAACACAATTGAATTAAATTTTTAGTTACCAGGCACATCAAATTCTGTGCTTTTTAATACAACAATAGCATAATTTTTATAGTGTCACTTTGGGAACCTTCTAGATGGTAATTGCTTATTATTACCAGGCCATACCAGCTATTTGGTATGCCAGATTTAGCAGGGCCCAAGGGGTTATTGTTTATGATTGCAGGTTTATGATTTCATAACTTGACACTTGGTGTAATAATATCACTACACAACCCCTTGCCAGAGCATTGAACTGTATATTAAATTAACAATTTACATAGCTGAGAGTGTTTATACATTGTCATTGAGGAAACCACTTTAATGAAACCAGGTGATATGCAACAGTAAGGTAGATTAAGCGGTTGTGATCTGCCTTGAACACTCGTCCCAGTCCTTGGGAATTTGGACATCAAGGTTATCCTAGGGGTGAGGACATTTTGTTGAAATACAAAGTTTTTGCAAAGTAGGAAGCTAGAGTTGTACTAATAAGTTAGGATATTGAAAGTCATCAATCTAGTCTTCTAGTATCTAGTATTGTCCTGGGATAAACACATTAAAACCATCTTTTGATAATCCTTCCTACTTTTACCTGATATTTATTGATATATATTCTTTTGCAGTCCTTTGACATGGCAAATGAAAGTATCACTGGTTTTGTTCAAAATGTTTCACCAATTCGATCAGGACCAAAGAAGAACTTCTTTGACTTTCAATTGCAAACTGAAAGTGACAAGTCGGTGAGAGCAATATGCTTTTCTCCTCCCAAACGAAAGCTGTTTGTTGAATGCGAAAACGATTCAACCCCTGTTAAAATCTGCAAGTTTACACGTGACAACAAGGAAGATTCCAGTGATATCTTGATGGGTGACTACATTGTCGTCAAAAAGTTGGAGACACAGGACGTTTCTTTTCCAAAGAAGGATTTGATTGCTGCTGACTTCAACTTATCTATGCTACAAACCATTTCTCCTCAGCAGCTTGTCAGCTTGAAAGCCAAACTGTTGCACCTGCAGAAAGAACAAGTCATAAACACCCCACAAGGAGTCCTAAAAATGGCTGAAGGGTTGTTGGTGGATGTACAAGGTTCAGCTAAGATCACTTTCTGGGAAGATGATGTAAAAAAGGTTGTGGCTGGCAAGACGTACGAGTTTAAAAATCTTAGAGTAAAGAAAGACAAACTGAATGGAAATCTCTACGTTAATCCTGCAAAAGGAATTGGAAGTATTTTGCCATGTGAAGATTTTAAATGTGATCTTTTTATACCTGACTATGATCCAAGCCAACTAATGACATGCACACTCAACAAAGCCGAGATTGCTGGTGTTACTGAAGTGCGTCTTGATTACTGTTGCTTCAAGTGCAACAGCCATGTGGAAGAGAAGAAGATCACCACATGTGAGAATGCAAGATGTAAGCTCACACAAAGGCTGGATAAGTGCAAAAAGAAATGGTATGCTAGAGCACTTGTCACTGAAGATGATGTGAATGTTTACGTGGTCTTTCGTGATGATGTTCTGATGAAAGCATTGTCCCTGTCGGCAGCAATACCTTCCAACCTTACAAAGGAATTTATTGTTGAGAAATTGCTTCTACTTGAAACCATTCAACTTACTTATCATAGTAGGTCGAAATTGGTTGAAAGTCTGGAGCTAACTTGGTAGTTAACTTGGACTTTAATACTTCATTGTTAAGTGTTAACAGTAAGTCAAAATCAGGTTAAACTATGAAGCTAACTTGCTTGAACTTCATTTGTTTTGTTCAAGTGTTAACATTATTTACACTAAACTTAATTTATTTTGTTGAAGTGTAAATTAATGCTATGCCTTGTTGGGATTCACATTACATTTTTGTTTTGTTTGCATGTTATTATGAAGTAGTTGCTGAACTTTATCAACTTGCTTATCATAGTAGGTCAAAATTGGTTGAAGTCTGGAGCTAACTTGGTAGTTAACTTGGACTTCAATACTTCATTGTTAGGTGTTAACAGTAGGTCAAAATCAGGTTAAAGTATGAAGCTAACTTGGTTGAACTTCATTTGTTTTGTTCAAGTGTTAACATTATTTACACTAAACTTAATTTCTTTTGTAATTGAAGTGTAAATTAATGCTATGCCTTGTTGGAATTCACATTACATTTTTGTTTTGTTTGCATGTTATTATGAAGTGGTTGCTCAACTTTAATATTTATATTATATCCTTATAGCTTTATGTCTTGTTGCTTTGTTATTGATCCTTGCAGTGTTGCTACAGGAGGAAACCTAAACTAAACTAACTTTATTTATACTGGATAGCTCTACCAGTTGTAAACTGTTCTTCCTAGAGGTCCAGTAAGGATCATCTCTTATTGACAGTATTACTTGGGGAGGGATGAATAGGGAACAAATCCACCGATCAGTCCAAATTTGAAGCAAAATCTTACTTATCATAGTAGGTTGAAATTGGTTGAAGTCTGGAGCTAACTTGGTAGTTAACTTGGACTTCAATACTTCATTGTTAGGTGTTAACAGTAGGTCAAAATCAGGTTAAACTATGAAGCTAACTTGCTTGAACTTCATTTGTTTTGTTCAAGCTAGTGTTAACATTATTTACACTAAACTTGATTTCTTTTGTATTTGAAGTGTAAATTAATGCTATGCCTTGTTGGAATTCACATTACATTTTTGTTTTGTTTGCATGTTATTATGAATGTTATGAAGTAGTTGCTGAACTTTAATATTTATATTATATCCTTATAGCTTTATGTCTTGTTGCTTTGTTAACTTTACATATGCCTTGTTGGGATATGATGTAAAAGTCTTTGCCAATTTTGATGTTTTTGTGTAATATTGTGAAGATTTTGAATATTGAAAGAAACTTTATAACTGTCATATGACCCATGGGCGGATTTATTGTGGGGGAGGGGGGAGGGGGGGGGTTAAACACCCTCTAGAATTTCTCTAACCCCTCTTATAATGTGTTCAGCCCCACCAACACTTTACTTCAACCCTCCTATTTTGTGTGAAAGTCTTTAACCCTATCGCCTATTTTGGGAGGTAGAAACATTGTAATAGCTTAATTGCGGCTTAATGAGTTAAATATCAAACTATTAAAAATTATATTTATAGCAAAACATTTAGACTTTGGTGATGCCAAATCTTATCGTTGATGCTAATGTCTGCACCAAACGGTATCCAGTCAAAACGTCCCCATAACTGAGTTGTAAACAACACTCGACATGTTCTGATGTTCACTGAACGACATACGGTGCACTAGTGTCTCGTATATTTCTTTATACCTTATTCTGCGACTCTGCTTCACAAACATTTAAAACACGTACATAAAGTTTATATATTTCTTACCTTATTTACTCTGCTTCATACTGTGGCTCGGCCACAAAGTTTATAGTTACATATTTCGTCCCTTTATATTCACTCTGCAACTCTGCTTCAGAAACATTTAAAACATTTACTGTGGTAATCGACGAAATCGTACTGTTATGTTGCAAAATAGAACGTGGAAATATAAGGTTGTTATGTACACTTTCAACAGTATACACATATAAAATTTCGCATATATGAAAACATATATTCACTCCATCGAAGGCAGCCATTTTGAATTTATTGAATATAATATATATCCATCCAGTTGAGGGTTTTTACGGTTTTGCAAAATATATAGATCAAAACGGCACACGTGATGCTGATCGCTGTCGCTGATTGGCTCCGGGCTAACACACGGTCTGTACGATGGCAATGTATCTGCGCTAGCGCAGATACAAAAAGTGCTACACGTAGTTATGGAGTGTTATTGGTACTGGTATTGGTACTGGTATTGGTACTGGTATTGATATACTATGGCCTAGGGTATATTTTAGTTGAGTTCTTTGCAATTTCTAAGTTTATATTTTAATCGAGCTATATCAGTTGCTCACCTATGAGAAAGGGCCTTTTTTAAGTAAGTGTACATATTAAACTCTCGAAGAAGCAATATTTTTTTGTGCAATACCTTTTCCACATTGGCTTGGTGTAAATGTCCTTCGTTGTCATCCTCCGAACGATGTACTTGCCATTTGGTATCAATGTTCTTTTGCCTCTGCCATGCACTGCTTCCATCAGTCTCCAATGAAATTTCCCTTTTTGAGCGTCAAATTTTCATTTTTTTTCATTAAATTTCCTTGCCCAAATCACAAAATTTCCCTTCAAATTTCCTTCCTATTCAGAGACGTTCTAATTCAGTCAGACTGAATCAATCCTTTTGAAAGATTCATCAAGAAATTTCTTCCGTAGTTGGTTGGCTTCATTGTCAGTTGCACTTGTTTTCATTTTGGACGCCAGATCTAAAGTTCTCTAGCTCGGTGTTAGATGCACAGCTTGGCATTCTTAACAACAGTCCAATATTCATCCCAATGAAGATCAGGCTCTATTTTATTTTAAGGAGTGATCTCTCCATTCCTGGTCAAGCTTCTTGACATCTAGGATGTCGGCTAAATATGGTAACTTCTAGATGATTTGGGCTAATGATGATGGCGTACGAAAAGCAGCCTTGGTAGGTGAAATACACTGAACAATATCATGTATTTCGGCATCTAAATCAACTCTTTGCTTAATTTGTAAGATGATTTCGATCAGGAAATTCTTGCAGTCGCTTCGAAATCTGTCCAGATCCTCATTTGTTGCCCCTTCTTCTATCTTGTGAATCGTAGCCGTGGCAGCAATGCCAATATAGGTCTGATTCTGTGGTACATGATGTAGAACGTTGGTTGGATTGATGTCTTTTGGATTGGTCTCTTTGATGTACTGAACAACCATGAAATCGCTTGCAATTGACTTTAAAAGTCCTTCCACTTCGTCTTTAAGGTTTTGCAAAAGAGGCCTCTCGCTTTGATAAAGACAATTAAACACATTGAACCGTTGAAGCTGATAGCTCAAAAACTCGAGGTACGCTAAGGTAAACTTGTTATGAAGGGATTTGACGATTCGATCATTCAAATGTGTTGGATCTTCATTTGCAGTGAGAACGAAGTAATGCTGTAACGCCAAGTACTGCTCTAAGATACGGTTCACACATGCTTCTAGGGACAACCAGCGGGTTTGCCCGGGCGAGAGGAGTTGACGGGGTTCTACGTTGAAGAACTCCTGGAAATCTCGGTATGCATCTTGCCTCTTGGATGAGCGATGGAAATGATTGATGTTGAAGATGTTGCGGCATAAATCTTCCAAATGTTTGGGTAACATCTTGGCAGCATACGAAGAAGCCAAATGGATCAAATGGCAGGAACATTTAACTGAATAAAAATTCGGATATACTGCTCTTAACATCTGAAAAACTGAATTGTGTTCTCCAAACATAACGTTGGTCGTATCGGACGAATACCCTATTATATATTGCATGGGAATATGTAGCTCTGAAAATACTTGCTTCACTGCCAAATAAATTATGTTAGCCATGCCATCCATGATTTCGACCAGGTCAAGTAAAAAATACTTTGGGGCAAAAGTTTGCATTTTGAAGTAAGTGACAGCAAGCTGCTTTATGGTACTCAAGTCCATTGTTTCGTCGATGATCATGCTGAACATATGCGATCGTAACGCTGAAACCGTTTTAAAAAGATAGTCAAATCCAATGACTTGTCAGATAACGTTGGTTGCTTTTTGTTTGCCGAGCCTTACGTTTGTTAAAGGTGTGACGTGTGGGTATGCTTGCCCATAGAGGACAAAAATTTCATCTCTAAAATTCGAAGTCGAAATATTAAAATCGAAGTCAAAATATTAAAACCGAAGTCGAAATATTAAAATCAAAGTCGAAATATTAAAATTGAAGTCGAAATATTAAAATTGAAGTTGAATTAAAAAAAAATCGAAGTCGAAATATTAAAATTGAGTCGAAATAAATTATCAAATTTCGACTTGAAAAAACAAGCAACGCAAAAATTACATTATTATCATAATTAATTTTGGCGGGAATGGTCATGAACATATTGTCTTATTGATCATGAGAATAGATTATTGTTTAGTGTCTCAGCAAAAATGGTGGCCAGATGGTTGCCCAATGTAGAAGAGTTTTTTTACTCATATTGTTGAATTTTAATGGACGGTTTAAATCTTGAAGACATTGAAGATGATAGAGCAGATCTTTTTGCTAGGCGATTTGAAGATTATGAGCAGACTACGCGTTTTAGCTGCACGATTACTGGAAGGTTTTCCTGTTGAATTGACATTGCACAATAACATGTTACGGCTTCTAGATATATCTGTGAATATCAGAACACGGTTACAAGACCATTTAATCGAGCAAGAAAATAGAGAACTTGACAATTCTGAAGAAACATACCAAGCCCCAGTTGAGCATTTAGATAACCAAGAGCAAGGACAACCACGACTCGCTGTGAATAAAACAGACGCAAATGACCTTCGTCGCTTAGGATTTTCGTGGACAGATATCGCTTCCATGCTCGGTGTTTCCTCCAGAACACTTCGTAGATGCCGCCATGAATCTGGTACTTTTAACCTCATTGCGTATTCTGGTATAAGAGATAATGAATTGGACAACATTGTCAGTGAAGTTCTAGAGACTACCCCCCAAGCAGGACGGAATCTTGTACGAGGAGCCGTGCTTAGTAGAGGATTGCATGTGCAAAGATGACGTATAGAATCGTCAATATCAAGAGTTGATCCTGTCACAAAGGCTTTACGTGATCGAAGGAGAATAATTAGAAGAATTTATAACGTGCCATGTCCCAATTTTTTATGGTAAATATCAAACAAATCTATTACATGTTAGGAGTCAACTACAATAGCTAGTCATAGAATAAGACCTAGTTAAAAACATGTGTACTGTTTAACTAACCATTTATATGCTAACAGTATTTTGAGCAATGGCGAATGGAAAATTATTAGGCTAGTGCTTGTGGTTATAAATGCTATGTGATTCAAAAAACCCTACCAAACTTAAATACTGTCTCGTTAAGAGATGTTGTCAGTATACACATGCATTATTCGTAGGGGGTGGGAAGATTAAGGGGGGTGGCAGAGGAAACCTGTTTGACGAAGGTGCTTTTAAAGAGAGTATTTATAGTATGAATATTCTTTATCGTATGGGCACATTGATGGGAACCATAAACTGATCACACCTTATCGTATTGTAATCCACGGTGGGATTGATGGATATTCCAGGCTAATTGTATTCTTGCAAGCATCAAATAACAATAGGGCTAGCACTGTTCTTAAATTGTTCCAGGATGCTATTGCAAATTATAATCTTCCCTCTCGAGTAAGATCAGATTATGAAATGGAGAACATTGATGTTGGTAGATTTATGCTTGCTAACTGTGGTTTGAACAGAGGAAGCTTTATTACTGGAAGCTCAGTTCAAAATCAAAGAATTGAAAGACTATGGAGGGAAACCAATCGCATTATAGCTTGCCGATTTGTTAACATATTTCTTTATTTGGAACAGCAAAATGTTTTCAATCCCGACAATGAACTTCATTTAATTGGCATTGCACTTAGCGTATTTGCCTCTTATAAATGATGCTCTGACTGCATTTGTTGAACAATGGAATAGTCATCCTGTGACTTCAGCTTGCAACTACACACCTATACAACTGTGGGTAAGGGGTATGGTCACCAGTCGAAATACTGGTTATTCGGCTGTTAATGATGTACTAACAGAGAAGATTTGGAAAATTTGGGTGTTGATGAAGATGGGTCCATACCTCAGGAACAATCCAGTAATAATGTGGAGGTAGCAGAAATACCATATCACTTGACAAATGAAGAAGAAGTAGTTATATTTGATATAAGACAGAGTTTTAGAGAAGCCAATGGAATAACTTGTTACTTACAAGTTCTGCAATACCTTTCTTCTATTATAGACATATAGTGCTAAACATTAGTTCAATCGTGTGAAATGCCCAAAAATCCTAATATTTAATTATTCACCGAAGGCAAGGTGATTATCGGTGAATAAAAACTTAGACAAAGTCGAGGTATTTATTCATGATAAATATCACCGAGGTGAATAATTGTTTTAGTATAATTTCATAGGTGATTATAATTTTGAAAAAAACTTAAAAATACACATTTCTTCATCATTTAATCGACAAAACGGCTTCAGCAGCCATTTCGAAAATCACTTAGGTGATTATATTGTGTTATTATCACCTCAATCAGTGTGGAAAAGTTTCAATAATCACCTATGTAATTATACTAATTACCCATAAACCTTAGTACACTATACATAATTGAAGAATTATACAAAATGAGGCTTAGAGACAGTTCGATACTAAAATTATCATATATAATGTAAAATTAACACAATTCCAAACTAAATTGTTATTTGTAGACACATTCTGTTACATTGATATCCAGTATCGTTCAGTGTATGTAACTCAACATCCCATGTTTCTGGTGCGAACAAACAGCCAGTGAATACACTAATACACTACTTTACAATGTAGTTATAAATGGAACTAAATTCATAAACAGGAACATGAAAACCTACAACAAAACTATTCCTAAAATCAAATACCAATAAAGAAAACTGTAAACCACAAGTGTCACACAAGGGTGTGTCAGCCTTATATGATTTATCATTAGAAACTTTCAAGACCAAAGACCAAGGGAATATTCGATTGTTTAAAGCTTTTGGAAAAATCGAAGTCAGCAGAACCCTACAAACATTTTCATTGCTCAATGGTACTGTATGTAATTCACACATGTGTCCCCAATGATTTACAGTTTAAAGCCTCTTACAGTACCTGTCGCGAGTAAGGGTACCTCCACTCGCGCGTAGCGAGTACTCGCAAGTCAAAGCGAGTACTCGTTCTGACTTGCTACTCGCGAGTACTCACATTTCATCTCACTCGCAAGCACCTGCTACTCGCAACTTGCGAGTGCTTGCGAGTCAAAAGGCTCAGACAATTTGTACAAATAAGAAGCGAATAATTCAGCTAAATGAAATAAAACGCCATATAGTATATGAAACCTTGTATGATAGATATTAGCATGTTTATAAATGACTGCCACATGGTGGGACATATTTTCTTCGAACAAAGTTCGTAGATGGACGTACAGTCTTAGAAGCGTTAAATATAACTGAGTCTATATCAATCAAAACAAAGCTTTAAAAGCGAAACCGCAGTCAAAACGGTAAAAATGACACCAAAATGCGAATGATTGGATGAACAAATGCCATATTTAAGTATGGGACTATATATACAAATATGGTCCGGTTGTAAGAATTGGCATCGAGTTTGCTGATGCTGTTTAACAGCAAACATCGAGTGCTCGTCTACGTTGTCTTCTAGTTGCAGTAAGATTCGAGAATCAAATTAGGAGTAAAAACGTAATACTGTAAAGTGCAAAGTGTCAAAAGTGACAAAATATAACTTACATTGTATATGCTGCTGGCATCTGTCTTGAATCGGGAACCATTACAAACTCACAGTTTCTCGTTATAGTCAAGCGACTTGATGCGCTGAATCCAATTGTCAATTGAAGATAATATCGATTGAACCCCACAGAACAACGAAATACGAACATACTGTGTATTTATCGCAAAAAAACAATTATACTAGTCTCATATAGTCGACAATATCCTGCTTATACTAATACAAGTATAGATTGTTTGGGCAAGACTCATGCATGCATGGTCATTATGATATTAAAGACATCAGCCATGATATATTTGCGGAGGCGTAAGGTGCTTTATTTGTGTTAGATCTGTGAAATTGAAATATTTTAGAGTTTATACTGGTCCGAATGTTTTTGGTACGTGTCAGAAAAATTTCAGCTGATCATGTTTGTTTTCCCCATCTATAATCTGTGTTCAATGAATATATGAATGTTGCTAGCTTGCAAACTGTGTTAGGCCGAATTTTCCCAAAAGGCAAACTCTGTTTGTGTCAATTTGTAACCACGAGTAATATCAGAAATTTTTCATGATGCGCGCATGAAAATATGTGTTGTTGGTTTCGCCAGCTTATAAGTATAAAACTACAAATAGAAATATATTAAAGGGGCAGTACGATGGAAAATTGTGCTGTCTTTTTTATTATATATTCAGAAAGTATATCAGTAGATAAACAAAATTACCAAATATCAGCGTCCAATTCCATTTCTTTCTACCTTTTTCTTCTACCAACGCAAACATGCAAATTTTTCGGCCGCCATTACTGAGTTAGATGTCGATTTCTTAGGCGGATATGACGTCATTTACTCAACACGCTTCTTTCTTGAAGGAGAAATTAATATTATCAAAGGCTTATACTAGGCTGTTTTTTGTTCAAAATTATGTCTTCTGACGAAAGCCACAGCTCCAATTTTGCAACACGATCATCTTGCGAACTCTCTTTTGCCGAAGACGTTTCTTATGATAGCGGGGGTGATATAAATATGGAGAAAAGTGTGGATTTGTGCGAGGCCTATGATACTTCAGTCGAACCTCTTGCCACTGGAGAAACATAATACATGAAGAGTACTATAACTGAGAGAGAGCAAAAGCAGCAAACACTGTCTGCTAGATTGTCTGGTGGAACCTCAACTGACACCTGGTACGTTTCGGATTGTATTTATTTACGTTTTGGTTATATTTGTGACATAAAACAAACATGTGATGGCCATGTAAAACAAAACAAATGGTTACTGATCTCCTTATAAAATGTTATTGTCACTTCCGTTATTGCACGAAACGTCTTCAATGAGAGATGGCTTACAGATGACTGTGTTGCCAAATTGGAAATCCTACTCACGTAAGAAAACATTAATTTACACAAAGTTGTGGGAAATATACTTCAATTGTATACTTCAATATATATTAATGGTGGCAACTGTGTCCTGGCCTTTGTGGTAAAACCCAATGAATGTCGTTGTTTATGTGAACCTTCTAAGGAAAAAATGCTGGAAGAAAACATGCATGACCGCTGCTTAACTGAGCATCCATCTCATCTCATTTATTGACAGTATTGCTTTTAATGCATTCGGCACATGAATGGCGAGACTTTTGAAAGAAATGATTTGCCCCCCCCCCCCCAAAGGCATTTGGCACCCCCGCAAATTACATATATTTTGATTTGATAGTTTCATATTTAATTATTCTTACTACTAAATTTGTAAAATTACCAATATTATGGTCTCAGATCTCGCCATGCAGGCCTAGAAAACAAATTTTGCTAAACTTTTTCCTTGGCCTTTCCGGGCGTTGCCACCACGCCCCGGCCAAAGCAAGCAGCAGCACCCCCCCAGATATTTATCCACCCCCCTGAACGAAAATATGAAAATCCGTCTCTGGATGCTACACGCGACAACTCGAAATTTAAATTGTTTCACCAACAACCAAATTTGGCATATTCTAAAACTACATTTGCTTTGGCAGCTGTCGCTAAAAGCATCCCCACGAGGCTACTGATATGCTAAACTTATTTAAAACTAGGATTATTCCCATGATCCTTTTAGTGGCCATATTACATTTGACTATTGTCTCAGTGACAACTTTAATTAAAATACCTGTAGCCGTACAGGATTAAATAATGAATAATAAGCACTACCCTAACGATATTTATATATTTGAAAACAACACTGCCTCGCTCCTTCGTAGCATCGTCACGCCATCGTTGATCTACGGCTTGATAGCACATGCGTATTTGCGCTGCTAAAGAAAAATCAGGTGTTCCTGGGGAAAGATCCTTTACATAAGTGAACACAAAAACCAACAAGATGCGAATGTTATAAAATTTGCAATAACGACAACGATTCCTCGAAATTTTTGTGAACTTGGCAAAAGACCTAAAGAATATTGAAATAAGACAACTGAAATTGCCTAAATAACCTTCAAAACACTAAGTACAATAAATCACTAGGAACATAAATCGTATACACCCCCCGGAAAGTTTACTGTATGACTGACTGACTGACTGATTCGTTTGAATTTCCCCCCAGTCATCACAATACTGTGAAGTTTCGAAGAAACTTCACACTGAAAACTGTAACTACCATTTTTCATCACTTGAAAGGTACTTCTAGTAGAGCAGTAAAATTAAGGCAAAAAATTCATGTCATGCACACTTTAATTATTACCAGGTAGGTGGGTGAGAAAAAGAGCTCTCCCTACTCTGGTGATGGATGAGTGGTAAGAAATTATCATCAGCCAGAGGCAGCCAAACTGTTACAATGTCATGATCTGAGTGCCATATTCTGAATTTAGTAATGTTTGAATCCCTGTAAAGATGAGCAAGGTAGTGAAACATCCCATCATGTGAACAGGAAAACTTGAAAGGCCTATAGCTAAGTGATAACACAGTTATAAGTAAGCTAATATTAGTAAACAAGGATCTTGCATCATGAATCCTGGTGTTTCTGTGCAGAACACAGCTCACAAATGACATACAGTATCGTTTTTGGATTACAGTACTAAATTTTAAAGCTGTCATGTTAATATAAAAATTTTCTTTTTGAATGGTTTCTTAGGGCAGTTTCATATCAGCAAGTAGAGAAGCTTGTCTGGGGTTATACGGTACCAGCAGTTCAACAAGGTACCCCCCTCCTTGCTGTGCATACACCAAAATACGGTTTCTGTCTCATTTATGTGAACAATGTTGTATCTTGCCGAGTTATTTTTTTAAAACACTGACATCATGCTTGAAAGTATGGTAGTAGTAAAAAACTGTCCAGAATTTCCATAGGGATGGGGGAAACATTAATTGTCAGGGACAGTTAGAAAAATCCAGAGGGATGGGGGTTCATAAAGTAAATCTCTTCCATTGGGGGGGGGGGGTATTGCCTAGAAATACACATTGAAATACTTACTCTGGTTCACTCTTTTTCCCTTTGGTATACAGAGTGGTATAATTTTGGCTGCCTTTTATTTGGGTTTTGTAACTTAAACCAGCAAGTTTTAACACCCATTGGTTCAAACACCCAATATCAAATGCTGGATGCTCAGTTAAGCTGCGGTCATGCATGTTTTCTTCCAGCATTTTTTCCTTACAAGGTTCACATAAACGACATTCATTGGGTTTTACCACAAAGGCCAGGACACAGTTGCCACCATTAATATATATTGAAGTATACAATTGAAGTATATTTCCCACAACTTTGTGTAAATTAATGTTTTCTTACGTGAGTAGGATTTCCAATTTGGCAACACAGTCATCTGTAAGCCATCTCTCATTGAAGACGTTTCGTGCAATAACGGAAGTGACAATAACATTTTATAAGGAGATCAGTAACCATTTGTTTTGTTTTACATGGCCATCACATGTTTGTTTTATGTCACAAATATAACCAAAACGTAAATAAATACAATCCGAAACGTACCAGGTGTCAGTTGAGGTTCCACCAGACAATCTAGCAGACAGTGTTTGCTGCTTTTGCTCTCTCTCAGGTATAGTACTCTTCATGTATTATGTTTCTTCAGTGGCAAGAGGTTCGACTGAAGTATCATAGGCCTCGCACAAATCCACACTATTCCCCATATTTATATCACCCCCGCTATCATAAGAAACGTCTTCGGCAAAAGAGAGTTCGCAAGATGATTGTGTTGCAAAATTGGAGCTGTGGCTTTCGTCAGAAGACATAATTTTGAACAAAAAACAGCCTAGTATAAGCCTTTAATATTAAATATTAATTTCTCCTTCGGGAAAGAAGCGTGTTGAGTAGATGACGTCACAGCGCTTAACCGCAGGTCGGATTTTGCAGGCTCTAATAACTTAATGGCGGACAAATTTTTCGTAAAATATTTTGTTTTTGGACAGTTCTTAAGAGAATTAAAAATCAAACTGATTGGTTTTATTTTCATATTCGGGTAAGTAAATGTTATTACTGTCTGTTACACATTTAAAGTCGAACATGATTTGGGATGATACTGCCCCTTTAATTTTTCAAACAACTGCATTATCTTGTCAAATTTTCTCAGCTATATAGTATTGAAGAATATGCCAAAATTTGTTTTCTGTTACTTTGGTCAAGAATCCTAATCTAATGCTCTGGTCAATTTTTGGCCCCCTGTAAATTTTGGCCCCACATAGGTGTTTTGCTGGCCCCCTCTGACCAAAAATCCTGGGCCCGGTTGTTCAAAAGTCGATTAGCTTAACCCTGGGTTAACCTGGAATTCAAAGCAAACTTCCTGACAGCTTGTTTATAAATTTGGAAATATTTCTTTAAAAATCTTGTCAGGATCGATAGGAGTTTTCGTTTCTGAAGTTTTGAAATAAACAGATGTGTAAAAATACATAAACCCAAACAGTGGGTTAACTTTTAACCCAGGGTTAATGCTAACCCACCTTTGAACAACTGGCCCCTGGCTACACCTCTGTTTTTACAACTATCAATATGTCATATTACCTTGTGCACATTCATCAATGTACATCTTCAACCATTGAAGAGCATTTTCATTGTCAGGAATACCAAGATAGTGGCTTGGATCAGTTTTCAGCAGTCCTTTAAGCAATGATGGATTCAAGATTCAAGATTCTTTAATGGCACTATTTCATTAGATTAATCACAAGCAGTTATATGGAATAGATAATAGAATGAAAAGAAAAAGGAAGATAAAATCAGTATAGTGATAGTGCCATACCTGTAGATTTTATTTTTGTGGAGGTAGCCAATCTTTAAATGGAGCTAGGCTATGCCACATTCTCATACCCAGAGCCCGCCTTACACACGATCAACAGAGCATGACAAGGACGCGGTGTACGAGAATGGGTTTGCCTCAACAGTCAACTGCAGATCAAAATTTAGCCTCTGAACGAGAACAAAATGCGCATATTCTGGGTATTTCAGTCTTATTTAATACAGTGGAATATAGAAGTGCATTCTGAGAGTTCTTGCAGTTATTCCAGTTAGTCAGTAACTCCTGGCTTAGATAACAAGCTCCAAATGATTTTTGGAGTTGGCAACACAGCAAGTAACTTCAACCTTACATGTATGTACTGTACCTAGCGGCTATATAGGCTGACTCGCCTCGCTATACACATATTTTTGGAGTTAGGCAGTAACTCAAGGCTTAGATACCTTGTTTTTTCATGATTTTTGGAGTTATACGTAGCTCCAAATGATTATTGGAGTTAGCCGGTAACTCCAGGCTTAGATGCCTAGCTCCTAAATTATTTTTGCAGTTGTATACTTATATAGCTCCAAATCATTTTTGGAGTTAGCCAGTAACTCCAGAATTCATATTTCAACTCTTGAATTACACAAGTTACTCAAGTGTATATTTTGGTTTGGAGTTAGCCCTTTAGAGCTTGGAGGTAGCGTCGCTCCGTAACTTCCTACTTTCTACAGGCATGCTCATAGTGCACAGTGGTCAAAGGAGCATAGCTTTCTAGTTGACCACTGTCTACTATTTCATGATATTAACTAAATGAGATAAGCAAAAAAAAACAAATTGTGTCTCTAAATAACACAATTACAAAACATAATATATAATCAAGACTATTTACAAAACTATATTAATTGATCATTTTTCTAAATTTGTTCGGATTGGAGAAATATTGAGTATTGTCTTTTAAATATACCAATTGATTCTGAGTTTTTTATGTTTACAGGTATGTTTTCCCATATTTTTGGAGCAATATATTTGAAAGTGTGTATTCCATAATTTGTTCTTACTTTTGGTCTCGTGAAATTCAATTTCGATGCATAACGTGTATTATAAGAATGGATACTGGAAGCCATTGTAAGGAAATCCAAAAAAATAGAAGGCACAGCCTTTTTTTATGTGCAATAATATAACTCAATGTAGCAATGCGCAGTTTAAAAATATTATCTAATTTCAAAATCTCAAGTAATTTATAGTAAATAGAGGCATTTTCTCTGCTATGAGCAAAGAAAATGCTTCTGATACATTTGTTTTGTTTTGTGCATATTTTAGTCAGCTTGGATGCATATGTATTACCCCAACTCATTATTCCATAATTCAAATAAGGATATATCAATGTAAAATAGAGTTGTTTCAGCATCTTTAAATCAACGTAAGGGATTCGTTTATATAAATTTTCCCAGTTCGATTACTTTGGCTGATACCAATTTCATTCGCAATATGAGGTAGATCTTTGGCGGACTTGCCAGCTAACCTACTTCACCTCTGATAAAATTCATTTCTCTTATCTTGGTTTACAAACTTGACTATTATATGATCTTTAACTTTCTTACTTGCAGGTAATCTATGAGCTGTGGATATGTCCCTTTCATCAACTTGAACTTCCATTAGATCACCCAGCTCCTTAGCTAAAATCTTAGGATCGTCTACAGAAGTGACTGGTATACCTGTTATTTCGACGCAGTCTCTTCTCAGATATTGTTGAATTTCATCAATTTGTTCATCGTAAATTGATATAAATTCTTTATTGCTTGATGTTTGCCCGTGTAGGAGTTTGATATCCTTCTCAGCATTTTGAATAGACATATTTGTTTATTGTAGGGTTTGGAGTAGGGAGTCGTATTGGTCAGACAAGAAATTCTGAGATTGTTCGATTTCAACACATTTACTCGATAATTTCTCCAATTCCCGTTTGACACCCGCCAATTCAGAACATATTTCTTTCTTTATGCTAGGGAGAAGCTCTTTCTCCCATAATTCTTTAAAAGCCTCAACAGTTAAGTAGTTTAAAGACATAATTTCATCAATTTTGGCCTAAGCTCAATTTTTTAACCGCCATCTTTGAACGGTGCTTCCACTTCAAGCAACGGTGCTTCCACTTCAAGCTTTGGATAAAGGAAATACAACATTTACCAAATCGGGACAGGCAGAAAGTAGCTTCTGCAGGGATAGTGTTTCCATACCACTCGCAATATCTGCCATTTCACCGCTTCGTTTGTTAAGCACCTCGTGCATTATGATTTGTTGGACAGCTACATGTGCATTTTCCAAACTCAATTGCTGTCCAACAAATCCAGCAGAATCCAACAAGCCAAGCACAGTTGGGTTTTCACATAACTCCACCAACTCCTCTGACTTAGATGCTTCTAATACCTAAAAGCAGTGAAAGTACTAACAAACAAATTTTCACCTGCAGGGATTCAGTGACAGCTTGATCAGCCAGGGTGTATATAAATAATCTGTATAAACATGTCACCCAAAAGGAGAAAAAAACACTACTCATTATTTTGAGGGAAGCCTCTAACTCTTCTGACAAAGGGACATTGGCCCAGGTTTCAAAAGAGATTTGTTATATGGCAATCGGCTTATTTGACAGCACATGTGTTGTTGGAATGGATAACCTACCTTTTGGGCATAATCCCTGTACTCTAGATCAGGTATATCATCTAAGCAGACAAGTGTAGCAGCCTCATCAATACTTCTGGTGGCAATGAATTTAGCAACTGCAGGAGCCATCCCTACAAACCCATCCCTCCATGGAGTATGGAATGGGCCAGAACTTTCCCAAATAAATGAAAGAGGCCACTGTCCAAAGATGAACTGCAGTGTATAGGAACAATATGATCAGTGGCACCTTCGAAGAGTGTTATCCCAGTGTTAGGATCCCCAGTTCTAATCTTTGTTAATGCTAGATGAAAAATTTCTCTGGTTAAGCCACCACCATCGATACCTCTTTCACTGTTGTATTCAATATCTGGCGGTGGGCTTGAGATTAAATCCAGGTCGTTTATAGATTTTAATGACATCTCTGAGAAAATTAGGCAACTGTCTGTCGATGTGTATAACCTGTGTTGTAGTTTCTACCATTTGTTGTTGGTACGAGCTAAGAGCTAAGATAGAATTCTCAGCAGATGCAATGGGAAAATCCTCCTGATGTAAATCATCAGTTGAAGAATTATCTGTTAAAACAATAGTAATTGAAACCTTTTTATACAGGTAATTATAAGTGTAATTGTTCTGCAATATCAAGTATATTGTTATTTCCCCAACGAAGAACAAACATGGTTTGCCGACCGGGAAAAAATTGCTGAATCCCCCCCCCCCCACACACACACACACACAGCACAGCCCCTGATATCAGGTGTCATTTTTAAACCAATACACAATTTGTGGATGAGGCTGAGCTAAAACAATCTGACAAATACCAGATATTGAAAATTAGTCAGGAATTGTTGACCAATCAGGAACAAGTGGCATTGCATGCCCTCTAATACGTCCTACTTTGTCATCTAACTCTGTCTAACTGACAATTTCATTTCTCAAGGGGAGAGCGCTGTTAAATGGGTTAAAAGTATAAAAATAGACATTGTAGACAAAATAATCAAATAATCTTGAATGAAATGTATTTAAGACTATGAAATTTAAGATCTTGCAACTTATCTTGCAATATTTTTCTACATATTCTAAAAACAATAGGAATAACGTTGCACAAGACGTTTCCTAATTCCTAGGGTTTGTCGCACATCTTATATTAGAAAGGTTCAACAGTTGACTAACAGTACTTGAGGAGCAGCTGTAGCAGTATTAGAAGTTGTATCTAAACTTCTCCAATGCTACACTGCCACTACTTAATGTGTTAATATACAATCGTAATTAACTTACCAGATGAGGCATTTTCATCAAGAGCTGAATCTAGTATTTCATTGATAGCATCATGCAGATTATCATTCTTTAATGCAGCCATAGTCAACTCTTCCGGATCTCTTCCAACAAAAATTTGTTTCAAGCTTTTCAAATGTTTCACTGAACTTAGAAGGGTGTGCACCTTGAAGCATGCTATCCTCTTGATTACTTGATGTACTAGGTGCTTCATTAGTACTGGTGGCTAGAATAGAGAATGAATTATGGATAGCTCTCTCTTGAATATTGACAGGAAGATTATCTCAAGGAGGTACAGCAGCAGAACAAATTGACGCTTGTGGACTTGAAAATTCATCATCACTATTTTGAATGTCAATACTATTTGGTTTGAACCACTTAACTATATCACTTGATGAATCATTACAGCTTTCCTATTACAAAGCAAATTAAAAATTATGCATACAGTGCAAGTACTGTGTGGTGCACAGGGGTGTAGGAAGCTTCAAAAAGTTGGGGGGGGGGGGGCAGGCCTTGAGGGACACTTTTCAAAAAAAAAGGGCATCTAAAAATTTTTTGGATGACCTGGCTTTTTTGGGGGCCTGCACCCCCCCTGCCCCTCTGCCCCCCTCTCAGAAAGGTTTTGAAATTTACAAAATCTTGCAAAAATAGAACTTGCATAACAAATGTTCGTTATTTCGCTGTCGTCAATGCAGTCGTTATAATGCAAATTTCAATTTGACCAATCAGTGTTCACTATTCACGACAGTCAGCTACATATTTTGAGATCAGTGAGGATGACCACCCATGAACGGTGAGCCATGCGCCCACGATATTTGCTGAACTTTAGACTTAGCTAGTGTGAAGTGCGTTCTTTTCCCCGGGTGTAAATAGCCGGGCGGAATTAGTACCCTTGCATGGCGCTTCGCGCCGTCGGCTCGGGGAAAATAATCTGGCATTAGACAGAGTAAAATAATATAGTAGGGTGCATTACATTGTAATGTGAATTAATAGGTTAATAGAAGTACCCAGACTCTCCTACAAGGCCTGAAGAGCAGGAAAAATATATCTACAATCAGTGACATTGAAAGGTGGCAACACTTATACTGGAAGGTTATTTTTGTAAAAATTGCAAAATAAAATGTAAAACTTCCCTCCTCTATTTCAATGTCACTGTGTGTTCTGGGAGAGTTATGCAATACAACACAAAAGTACATGAAATAAAACGTCAATTGGAGACTAGCAACATTAAAAAGGCGGGGGGGGGGGGGTAGCATTGTGTTGCAATCTGAAGCCTAACCGGTTCTCGTATTTTGTTACTGATTGTAGACCTAGGAAGTATAATCATCATCTTCGATTCATTCTCCCATATTTGCTGTCATATGATGTCATTACAGAAATGACATCATATCAGGCAATCTATCATATTAATGTAAATTCCAGGCTAGGGTGTGTGTGTGTGTGTGGGGATGGAGATTACACTCATCCTGGCTGTCAGCATTTGATCAATGTGATAATTGAATATTGACTAATGTTCAAAGTCATTGTGGGGCTATTTCTCCTTCAAGAATGGTTGTTTTGTGGGATTGTTGGTAGTATATGTTGGGTATTTGATAATCATTTCCTTACCCATGAGTATTTTACTCAGTTTCAATTTTTTGTCAAAACCCTACACCTGGCCAACACCCTCCTCCATCAGACTTTACATTGATAGCAGTGGTGCCACCAGCTCGATAATTTGGGGGGGGGGCGAATATTCATATATTTGTGTTCACAGACCATAAAAACAATCGATTTCAAAGGAAGTTAATAATACAGAACACGAAGATATGAATATCCCCCCCCCGCCAATTATCGAGCTGGCGGCCACTGATTGATAGGTGCATTACAGTACATATTATCCAAGCATTATGTAAATATATACATGCCAAAACCATTTTGGCATTTGAGAAACTTCAAATGAAATTCATACAAAGCCAATGAAGTGGTGGAATTGAGTACAAAATTTAATATAACTAGCAGAGAAAAAATAACATTGTCATTATCATTAACCTGAAGTTCAGGCCAGGTTACATTATCATTTGAATTCTAGACATACCCAATTAATTCTGAAACGTTCTCATTCAGCAACACTGCCGAGAATAACTGGGAAAATTGTGTCTTCAGTTCTTCTAAATTCCACCTTTTATCGATCAGGAATGCATCAACCACGAAATTGTTCGTTTGTAAAAATACCTTTTTCTCCCTCCTTGGCACAGTTGCCCACGTGGGGCCTGGCAATAGGCACACGTCTTTAATGTATTTTACATTCGATTCGCTTGCCTGCATTTGGTTAATACGCTTCCTTGGTTGTGTGGAAGGTTGCCTCGCGCCTTGACGCTTTCTCTGTGGTGGACATCTACCATCGTTTTGCCGCGAATTAAAGTTCATGACAATACTAGTACTTGCCTGAGAATTATTAACCATATTGGTGCCTGATGTTGACGGCATATTTTCCTGTGAATTCCCCCCACGAGGAATACAAAAACTATTATTTATTTCCTGATCGACGCTATCGAATCTGGTCACTGTGCGAGCAGGAGTTGCAGAAGCAGGTGATTTTTCTTCCTGCGACATTAAATCTGCAACAATTGTTCGAACTAAGCGCTGAAGATCGCCGGAATCTTGTCTTCCCTCTGCCATTTTTTAATAGTAGTAATAGTATATATAAAATGGCGCCCAAAGCGCAGATTATGATGATTATTTAAATTTATTTAAATTATTTAAATTTAAGCGTGCCATTTTTGTAAGTCAAAATATGATAATTTATGTCTGTTAGTTTTATCAAGTCGAAATATGGTAATTTATTTCGACTTCAATTTTTTTTAATTCAACTTCGATTTTAATATTTCGACTTCAGTTTTAATATTTCGACTTTGATTTTAATGTTTCGACTTCGATTTTAATGTTTGGACTTCGATTTTAATAATTCGACTTCGAATTTTAGAGATGATATTTTTGTCCTCTATGGGCAAGCATATGTGGGAAAAGAGAGCGAAGAAGTTCCACAAGATCATCCGATAAGGAGATTAGAAGGTTGTGTTCAGCAATAAAAGAACATAGTTTAATTTCCATACAGTGGGATTCATCTCAAGTTGTGGCTCGATTAAAGAGATTTGCAATCGCTTTACTACTGGCAGTGCTGGCGGCGTGATTTTTTTTATGAGAAGTACTTACTGCATGTCACTTTAAACCAGTTTTCGAACATGTCAAAAACTTACCGCATGTCTTGCAAAACGGCTGTGGCTTCTTATCGGTGCTAACCCTGGCTTTTTTGGTAAGCCAGTTTTTAAATTGTTTATCAGTCAGCCAGCTATCTACAAAACTCTGAACTTGCTTTGGACATTTTTGTTTTTTGAAACAAGACAAACCGCTACTAGTGGTTGCAATCTGAGTCGTACACTCCTGTTCATCTTCTGACGAAGTTGATAATTCATCATCAGTTAAGCCAGAATTAAAAAACTCATCCATAATTATTTCTCTTTTGCATTTAGTCTTAAATATTTTAATATTTATGCAAAACAATGAAAACAATTAAACAACTATCCTAGTTCCTGGAATCCTTGCATTTCGCTTCCGCCGGAAGCGAGGTCAGTATTTGGAATTAAATAGAAAGCGACTAGGTTAGAAAACAACATAAAATCGTAGTTAAGACAAATTAAAGTTCAAAACATAGATTTGAAAGCACTTTTCCAGTAATCCGGTGGGAAAATTACATTGTTTGTTGTTTATTTTTAAGATTAAAGCTAACAATTTGAAGAATCTTAAAATTTCTTTCAATTTCCTTACTTAAGGCTAGATTTCCTTGCTATTTCCTTGTCAATTTTAATTCCTTGCGTTTTTCCCTGCAAGTACCAAAATTTCGTTTTGCAAATGGAAGCACTGCTGCCATGACTAGGAGTCTTTATTGAGCCAGTTTCACAATACCTTGTTCTTTGTGCACATATGGTTTCATAATCATCTGTAAAAATATACAGATTTCATTGGAGTGAAATTTGATGTGAAAATCCTATATTTTTCAAATAACACCATGGGTACCACACTTTAATGTGATTTAAAATTGACTCGGTGAACATGATCAGTGGCTGACAAAATGTTTAAAATAATCAAGTGAACCATGTTCTAAAAGATTTGCATATTTAGTGCCTAAACCAGACCCTGGGACCCCTTTGGCATACATGTTGAAAATCTCACAATCCCAAATATAATTTTCATGAAGTGTCTGCCACTGGACATGGTAGTTCACCCTTAATTATGTGAACAATCACAATGTTGGGTATTTTAAATGAAGAGAACATATATTAAGCATTACACATATATGTGTCAACAACAGAGTCAATTATACAATATATTTAATATACTGTAGTTATTATTGGCTATCAATTTATATTAAGTCATGATTTCAAGAGATTTCAAGTTTTTGGATTGCCAATTAAGCAATAGCAGGGCTCACTTTTTATAGCATTTAACACATAAATTATTACATATAGATATGGTAAACAACAGGATTTCTCATTTCAAAGCAATTTTAAGAGAAAACTCACTAGAAACTGTTGACCATCAGCACACCACATGTTGCTTCACTTTTTTTATTTTTTCAGGTTTAATTCATTGTTATGAAAACAAATAAATATTTTGCCACTAAACTGTATCACTTTAGCCACCGAAATTGTTGTTGGGAATGTTTGTGGATCGATGCTTGTAAGTGCGGTTATCCATTCACTCGCAGGATTTTAAATAATATATGATAATCATTAGTCAACGCTTTTTACTCGCTTGTTGTTTCCATTTCATACATAAAACGATCCAAAAAAGTTGTATGGTCCTAAACTAATTCAACGTTTTATATTTAACTTTTAGCGTTCTACTTTGACGTTTTAACGTTTATAAGTTCAACAACAACTTTAGGTTCTACATGGCCACTTTATATGTGGGCATTTTCGTTCCACACTAGTGAATACCTAGTGAATATACATATAATTATGTGCATATATTAAAGATGCAGTAACAATGCTATTCTTCACAATTTTCTTATGAATCTTTGTTAAATCATTTGGCCATGCCACCATCGCTTCCTGCCAGTCCCAGGAATAATTTTCAAATTTTTTCAGATCTTTTCATATTATCCATTGCATTTCCCCAATCTCAACCAATGTTTCACTCACAAATTCAAAGAGTACTTCATGTTTTTAGAAGGAAAATATTTTTCAAAACTGTGGATAAAAATTTACTCTGAAGTCAAAAAGCATGTACATGTGTTATGTGTGTAGTGTTGTGTTACAACCCAAGCAACCCTGCGAGAGTTATGTGCGATTTGGGAGCCTGGGCACAAGTTTGCAGGGCAAAAGGATTGCAGACTCAGGATTGCATGTCACTTTGCTATCTCGATTGCATGTCACTTTGCTATATCTAGAAGCAAGTGGGTGAGAAGCTAATGGCAGCTCTTCAAATTGGAACGAGTACTTGTCAGGACGAGGGTCTGAAATGTTAGTCATATCGTTTATTATAAACTTCTCGCCATCTGCTGTTTTCATTAATCTTTAAAGTTTGACAGGACTACGAGACAGTTCATGATCCACTAACAGTTTTCGCTTGTGCTTCGAGAAAAGTAAAGCTGGTTCTGTATGACCACTTTCAGTTTGTAGTGTTAATGTTGAATAATCCATTGTATTTTTTCCTGTTTCTCTTCGAAGACGACACCTGGTGTATATATGCAATAACAGAGTTATCTTTTGATGACAAACCCTGTTTCGATGTTGAACCTTGCCACGACGCAGGATATTTTTTACTTTTGAATTATCCATCTCTCTATATACCGTGCACACAGACTGAGGAGTATAAATATAACTGAGCGTAGTGGGCGTGTATACAAGAAAAGTTGGGTGCATCTAATAATTATATTTATTATATAAAGCATAGTGCTTTATAGAAATTTCGAGCACTGATAAAAGCGATAATCTCACATGTGAGATTACTTATGATAATCTCACATGTGAAAATTATCGCTTTTCAATTATTGCTTTTTTGTAAAAATTATCATATTTCAAAGACTGTCCTTTATATAATAAACAGAAAAATACACGAGTGCTTGGAAATACCAGATTTATTTCTTGTGTTGAACATGATATCACACGAGTGAGCACAGTGAACGAGTGAGATATCATGTTCAACACTCGAAATAAATCTGGTATTTCCGCACACCCATGTATTATTCTCTATATAATTATTGTGAGCAGCTGCATGCACATGATCTGAACATGGCCCATAAACATGATACCAGAGCATTCAATAATATTCAATATAAATATATCTCAGTCAAACAATGACAACAGTCATGCAACTGTGGCCCCCACACCAAATATGCCCAAGGGACCCCTCTTGCTCCGTTATGCCACTGGTGAACACCAACAATGTCAATTTAACTCGCCGACTGTCAGTGTCATATTGAAACCAGGTTTTAAGTGGCAATGCACTCAAACACATATACTATGTCTAATGCCAGGCGATCTTACTCATCAAGGAGAAAGTGTTGCAGCTTAATGAGTTGAGCAATCTAACTCACTATACTAGTTGAACTTATGACCCAGTGCAATATAAATTCTTTGTCGTTGTGATCCGGATGTTTACAAAGGAAAATCAATTCATTCACAAGATAATTGTTGATCAGTGACTACATACAATGGCACTGAATATTTTTAATAAACTTATCAAATTTACCCTTTTTGCAATGGACATGTACTGCAAGTGTCCATTTTGATTCACTAGCAGCTTTCTCAACATTTTTTCCCTATTGCTTGACCACAACAAATGAGCCAACTGTGAATTTTTGGAGAAAACGATGATTACACCCTTCCAATATTTCTGCCTTCTTAGCAATTCTCATCCCTCCTTCACCAAGCATTTCTTGCTGTATGAATAATTTCATGTAGCCAAGAAATTCCCACGATTTTGACTTCATACAGAACATTGAGATCTGATATATAGTTCCTTCACGAGATAAGACATACAATACAGTGTACACATCATTACATGTAAGTAATCAACATGCATTATTCCACAAATAAAATATATAAAAAAGTGTACATCTAATTCAATGCCATTAATTTTTGTGACCATTCGAAAATCTTTCTAATACACAAGGCATAGATGGGTTTTTTTTTGGGGGGGGGGGTGCTGAATATTTAAGGGGGAGGTGAGCGATGAGGTGCATAGTGCTGCTGATCAAAGCTGTAGCAGGGATCTGGGTACATTTGGTTTTATTTAGTTCAAAATCATCCTTATGTTTGGTCTTACTTAGTTCAAAATCTACATTTCAATCACACTACTATCATTTATCACAACAAGCATGTAATTTTTTTTTTGGGGGGGGGGTTGCAATTTTCTCTGTGGGGTGGGAAAACTTTTGGGGGGGATCTACAAAATCTATGCTCCCAAAATTTGGCAAAATTTATATTTTCTATTAAATGTCTTACCATGGAGAAGGAAATGTACAGTACAGGGTAGTGCTCTTATCCTGGAGCTGTTAATGAAGCACCATCTACTTTGGAGAGAGCAGAACCTCAATGATTTGACAAACACATACCTATGTTGATAACATCGTGTGAAAATATTGATTTTCCACATAAGCGTATATCATCCAAGGTGATGTTCACTACATGTTGAAAAATGTCAACAGGTAAAGTATAACCACAAAGAATCAGTTAAACTGACTTCAAGAAAAATCTTAACGGTGGACTGAGTTCTGTGAGCAAAATGTACATAAGCTGTGCACTTAATTATAAATTAATGTTTTTAATTTTTTTATAATATATCTTCTAACAAGAAAACTCATTTTTCAAATAGATTAACAACAAAGATTACAGCATAAAAACGGCTGATATTTTATTTGTTAATTATATGAATTATATATTTTTCAATCTTTTAAACACCTGTTGCAAGACCGTAGTGGGAAAATGTCAAACTGAGTTTCACTATGTTACCCAAATATATCTAACCTATTAGGAATGGTGAAGACATGAACTCCAGGGTGGTTAAATTGGGGTAATGTTGGGGCGGCTTCTAATGTAAATACAGCAGCTGAGGATGTAATTTATTCCCTAAGTGTAGATTTGGGATTTCCATAGAGTTTGCACACATGCAACAACCTTCAAAAAGTAGGAAAACATGGTCTAAATGCATACTATACATCAATTCCACTATGGTCTACACCAGCCTAGTCCCAGGCTCTCTCTCTATTCGCTGCTTTGATATATTTAAATAAGTCTTAAAAGTTTTATGCCTGGGTGTGCTGTGCGGAACGCTTCAGCGAGAGAGCCTAGCAGATTTCGTTAAAATGGTCCCTGATTTAAAAAAAGTGGTCCCTGGCCTGGTTACCAAGCATACCACATTTGTAAATAGAAAATGTTATGGAAATTTCCTTTGCGTTTGTAATTAAGTTATTGGTTTTACTCTAATGCTGTCGGAACAATGAAATAGGCTACGTTTCGCTACCATACAGTTCGAATGGAATAACTGGCCGGCTAAATATGACTTGTGTTTACTAAAATATAAAGCCATATTAAATGCTATCTAGAAGCTTGAAAATTATGCCGGGTCTCCGACTAAAAATGTTTTGATAACACAGTCATGTCAGGTAAATGTTTCCAATCTCCTCAGCTACATAAACCTGTCAAGTAGAAAGCGTAGTTGTGTATACCAGTATGGTCTAGTGACTAGTGTTGATCACAACTTTCGAGTATATAAATAACATCAACGATTATACGACCATTGCTCAGACTCAGTATCGTAAATTTGTATATAAATTTTAACTGAGCACATTTTTAATACACTTTGAATTTGGTTATGTAGACATCCAACATGATCAACGAACATTGTCGTATTTATAAGGTTATTTGTATATATAAATTTTCCGCCATATTAAAAAACTGAAATCTGCTAGGCGTTCTGATGCACCTTTAGCGGTGACGTCACACCTAGGTCCTAGTCTCGTACTACATCTCCCGCTTACTTTAGAACGACTGGGACTAGGCTGGGTCTACACCTATGGACTACAGGTCATAACAATGTAAATGTAATAAACTTAAACATTAAGAATACTCTATGATTTTTGAATCATAATATAACTCAACTAATTAAATATGATAATAGACAAAACTATGCATAGCTTCATTAGCTTGTGTCTTTTGTAAACAAGTCAATTAGGCCTAATGCACTTGTCAATTGTTACCCCACCCTTGGGGAAAGGTGGGACGTTTTCCCTCTCCCTCTTTGGACTTTTAGTTACACCTGACTAGGTGGGGCATTTTCCTGAACATTATGGATCCTCAAACCTGGTATGTGTGCATGCTGGGGAATGTATAAAGCCTGGTCGCAGACTAGGATTGTCCTGTTGAGCCTGATCTAAACATGTGTTTTAAGTTAAAGTCAATTTTATCTGGATTGTCTAAGCTAAATATTACAAGTCAGGTGAGTTCCATTTTTTGTTTGTATGAAGTTGTATCAACTACAGAAACTGTTCCTGAAGGATAGTGGCTCTGTCCTGTGTGTGTACATACCTTTAGTTATCACTGATTTATTATTTTAAAAAAATAAATCAATTGTTTAATAACATTTTTGCAATGTTTTAAAATTTTGCCCCCATGGGCTGGGAGATTAGACAAAATTAGTCAGGTCAGCCTGCCTAAGGGGGTCGGGCAATAGTTATGTATGGATATATTAAAATCTATGTCCCCACCTTTCCTTGAGGTTGGGGGGAGGGAGTTACAATTGACATGTGCATATTAAACAAGGCAACCATACTTGTTAATTTTTGTTCATTTTCTTGAGTAAGGCCATCATTGTAGCCGTTTGTTGCTATTGTGCTTGGATGATCATCTGGTGCAACCTGCCGTTGACTTTGCTTTGGTTGACGTTGCCTTTCTAATTGCAACTGGAATGATTTTAAGACATCTGTTTGCTGTTCAGCCACTCTCATTTGCTGTTGTTCCATGACTTGTCGATTAAGCTTTTCTGCCTCAAGTTCAGCCTGCCTCAATTCCAATTGTTCTTTTCGTATTTCAGTATCTTTTTCCATTTTTTTTCTCTAAGATAAACCACAGTTTGAGTTCTGCCCTGTCTGGTCTTCTTTACGGGTACAGTTTCCTGATCTGCTTTTCTTTCAGCAGTTTCAGCTTTGGTCTCCATCGACTGACGTCTCATTTTGTCTCCTTTGAGCAGCTCATCGTTTTTGCGAGCCAAATCTGTCGCATTTTCTGTGTTAATATGCAATTCATACTCTTTTGCCCAGGCACAAATTTCATCCAGCAACTGGTCTAGCTTGCTGTCTTCCACGTCTATGCCAGAGCTCTTTTCTTCTGGCATTTTTTATTTTCTCCAAGTAATTTGCTCTCAGTATATTTTATCTATCACAAACTGACCTCTTGCTAATGTTGGACTTTGGCTTTTCGATTAAATTCAAGTTGTTGGCGATTTCATCTCATGCATTGCCACTCTCTCACATCCTGGTTTGTATTGGTAAGGTTCTATTAGTTGAATTTCACTGAACAGCAAAATATTGTGCTCGCCTGTCCAATGAAATGGAGACTTGCCATATAATAATAAACACAACAAAAATTAGATGACTTGCAGCACTATTTTTATTGATATAATGTGAATGCCATAGCAAATGACTAGTTAAATATGTTTCACAAACACTTATGTTCGCTTTCCTTTCGGTTTCGCGTTAATATCTTTGTTTTCAAGTGGCAAAGACATCACATTCTGAAAACAACGGCAAATACAAGCGATTCACTTTGTCGACAAGAAAGGACAGCAATGCAAATCAGTTTGCACATGCGCACATTTCTCTACCCAAGCCCCTACGTGTGATGAAAGCCATCTCTGGAGCCGCCGTCTTTTTTGCTAAAGGTTGCTAATATCTATGGAGTGTGAGATGCCAGCTGTTCATATATCTTATGTTTGGCTAGCCAGGTGCATATGTGTAGTATCTACATGGTATTACATGTAGGAAATTAAGGAACAGAATTGGTTTCCTCTTAATATTTTTGGAAAGTGCATACATTTTAGAAGTTTTAACATTAAGTAATATATGTAGTTACCACTGTTCAGTAGGACTGTAGCATACGTTTTTAACAATCAACTGAAGCGAGATATTTAGTAAAATTTCTTTTGTATTCTTCGTGTAAAAGTCATAAAAACTGTTGTATCTAAACATTGTGAGTTATTGTCGGATAACAAGCGAAAATTCCGGACAATATCTATGCAGTGTGAGATGCCAGCTGTTCATATCTTATGTTTGGCTAGCCAGGTGCATATGTGTAGTAACTACATGGCATTACATGTAAGAAATTAAGGAACAGATTTTGCTGTTTCCTCTGCTCTAATAGGGAACTTAAGCACTGATGTTTTTTGATGCGGCGACCGGATGTCGATTTCACTTCCGGCGAATGTGTTCTGAATTTATGTTTTGCTGTCGCGACTCAGCGCCAACGTGAAATGAGCTGTTTTGCCGTCGTGTCTAAAACGCGGTTCAAACAAGTTGCTTAGAACGTCCAAAGTCGGCCAAAAATGGCAACAAATGGCAAGTTACAAATACGAAACCAAAACTTGTTGTTGATGAGAGAAATGATGATTAGCATCTTTTTCTCTATAAGAAAAAGTGGGGAGTCCTAATAGAGGCTTAGTCTGGGATTGCATAGTTGAAAATTTAAACCTAATCGAAACTCCTGTCTTTGGATTGAAAGACAAAAGAAGTGTATGTGACAGATGGACCCTGTTAAAGACTAAATACAAAAAGAAAACCAGGGAAGAGGAAGCTGCAAATGGCATTGATGTAGATGACCTTACAGAGAGAGTTTAATCGAAGAATTGTGTGATAAAGAAGAAAGCTTTGTTGATGTTGACTCGGTTCGTAAACAAAAAGAAAAAATAAATGCGGAAGACATCAGAATGAAGGCTTTAGAGTGTCTGGGTGAAACGAAGAAACACACGTCTTGTGAGTTTGATGGGGATTCTAAACCAGAAAAAACACGTAGAGGAACCAGTGAACTTGTTGAGTACCTAAAACAAAGATCGGGTACAGACAGCGAACTTTGTCGAGAAGAACTAGCGATAAAAAAGAACGAGCAGGAAATCCAAAAGCAAACAGCTTCACAAGTAGCAGCACAACAACTAGAAATGATCCAAATGATGCAAGAACAAAACAAAAAAATGATGGAAAACCAAGCTCTGCTGCTTCAGCAACAACAACAAATGTCAATGGCATTTTTGGCTACAATGCAAAAGTTTACAGAGAAATAAGGAGATTCTGTTCACCGGCTATGTACTGTGTTCGCAGACTTTTTATAAACGTTATACACTAAAATATTTATATTGTTGAGTTGCTTTAATCGTTTATTATTAAGAACAATCATATTTAGGGCTGTTTATATGACCCTGCTAATTGCACTGACCGTCATGAAAATATTTCCTTAAGAGATTAGATTAAGAGAAGATTTGAATATACTTTAAGACAAGCTTTTACCCAAACCTGAAGCAACTATATTCTCTGGCAATGTCTGCCACTTTATTTTAAGTAAGTTTCAAACGTCAGACTCATGTGAACAGCCTTTGCATGCTTTCACAACCAGTGTATAGGCCTACTGTACATTTCAATTAATGCAATTTTATACATGTATGTTTACCTATATATGGATTGGCAGTTTACTTATCTATTGGGCTATAAAATATATATTTAATCATTTGCCTATGCCTCATGACTTATAGTATATAACTGTTCACTCATGCTGCCCAAAATATCTTTCAAAACTTGGAGGACTTACATTAAAAAACTCTGATGTGTTATTTTTTTACAGGCATGTGAGTGCATTTCTCAACAACGCACAAACAATGTAAGCTTTTCCCACACTACTCATGCCTATTTTTACATTTTTCTTAAAATCCATAAAACGAAATGTGTTTATCACATCTCCAAACAACCACTCGACAGAAACTCTCACTGCACTCATTTGTGTGTTAAATTCCTCCATTCTTTCTGTGATCTCGCCATTATGAAACGGAGCTTGTAGATGGACTCTATGCGGGTAAGCGGGATCGCCATAAACACACATCGGGTTGCCATCAGGGGAGAAGGCGTTCTCTTCTAGCTGGTGTAAGAAATTTGAATCGGCGAGCATACCCTGCATAATGTTTTTTCCTTCTGTAACATTCAAAATATCCAGATTAGAGATAGCTGCATAAATTTAGCTAAAAAGTTTTTGCTGTGTAACAACGTTTAAGAACTTACCAACAGGGCCAAATATATGAGCGATAATCCCGTTTGGTAATGCAACACACTGAAACTTTAATGAGTGAACTCTTTTGTGGCCATTATAAACCACTTGCTGATGTTGTTCAGGTCGACAAATCGGTCTGACGGTTCCGTCTATGAAGCCAAAACAGTTTTCGAGTGGGGCTCCCTTTTCGTGAACAGCCTCTGCATAAATCTTAAGGTTTTTGGGGCTTAGAACGTACGGGTTCCATTGAATTACTCTATGCCCTTGATTATCGTATATTAAATCAGTAACCAGATTTGATATCATGCACAATTCAGGAACAGATCGACCAAAGATTTGGATCATATCAGAGTATCGACATGGGTACGCAAGACGATTTAAGAGAATGCACAGTCCTTCGAGTCCAGAACAGATTGTTCTTTGTGGGCACTTAATTATATCGGGAATTTGAAGGACTTGCTGGAGAAAAATGAGGTCGTGCTTTTGTACCCGAAATTCTGCCAAATATTCGGCTTCGTTCATTTTGTAAAGGCAAAAAGGCGAATAATTGCTGTATGGGAACTCAGGATTTCTTGAATCGTACGCTAAGTAGAGTAAAATAAACTGTTCCTCTGTCAAAACACCTTCCTCAAAAAGAACAAGACAAACTCCTCTGATTTCTCGAAATGAAGACATAGTATCAGCCATCGGTGCTAGGTTAGCTTTTGCTTAATGTTTTGAAATTCGTGGGGGAACAGCATACTGATTCCCAGGTTTCCTTGTGCTGTCACGTTGCTGTTGTCACGAAAAACATTGCTGCTTAAGTTCCCTAATATCTATGATTATGGAGAATCTGTCTGTGTTGTGCGATAGTATGCATGAGTTATATTGTTGGTTAGAATTTGAATATGTAAATGACTATATAATTACTGTATATAAGCCTAGACATAAACAATTATAGATATATAGATTATTTTATGTTTAAGAGACTGAACAATTAAAATATAAGTTATAACATTGGTGATGAGGATTGCTTGGAATAAAATACAGTAAAACTGACGAAGGACCATGTAGGAAAAAGGTGACATTATCAAGAATAAACTGACAAAAGACTGTTGGTGTTGCGTGTAAAATCAAGCATTCAGTCGAGACAAGCGGCAATCAAATTTCCCTTACGATGCATCCAAAACCAGTGAAGAAAGCCTTAAAGTCGAAGAATTTTTGCTGACATACTAGAAACCTCATCGACATGGAATTTGTGGAAGAGAAAAATCAAGCTACAGATGGACTATTTCAAGATCAACGACCCTAAAGATAAAAGAATGTGTTTATTAGTTTGCAGCAGTGAAGATATTATGTCTATAGACAAGAACTCTCCTAAGACAGACAAAAAGGATGCAGATGAATACACCGATCTGATTGAGAAAGTCGAGAAGATATACATACCTAAAAAATCGCGACTTCATGCTCGCTTTCTTTTGAGAAAGTCGAGAAGATATACATACCTATACAAGGAGCACGACTCAAATTAAATGTCAGGAAATTAACTCTGGAAAGGATGCTAGCAATATTCTTCTACCGGTCAAAGTTTGTGGAGTTGAACTTGACATTGATCCAGATATGTGAGGATGTAGATCTGATATCGAAAGATGATTTTCAAAAGATTTATCAACAACATCCAGATGTAGAAAAGTTAATATCTTTTCCGAAAGAAGCTATTCAAGCCTTAGGTGGTGCAAAGCTTGGAATGATCTGTGTCCTGAAAGGTGCTAAGCTATCCAACAAGACAGTGAAAAATCTAGTCAGAGATATATGTGACAGAAAATGGTATTCATAACCACCATTACTGTCTGAGAAAACTCTGCTTGAACTTGGAATGGTACAGTATAGTGCTGACGGGGAGTTAGCAGACTGAAATGTAAAGAGAGCAACAAATCCATGGAAGATTAAAGAGAGAAGATAGGAATAACAAATACGGGAAAGATCGTGTCTACCCACAAAAAGTTGTTCCAAGGAATTGGAAGATTTAAAAGATCCTCACAATGGCAAACTGATCTTGACACACATACAGATGAAACCCGAAGCGGAGCCAACCACCAAGGGTGATACCCCACCACCTGAGAGAGAAAATGAAGAACAAGCTGGACTATTTTGTGAAAGAGGGCATCATGAGTTGAACGGAACCCGGCAAACCAATTGTCTATGCACCTGGCATCAACAAACCGATATTGGCAATCGGTGAAGTTGTTCCTGGGAACAAAGCTAAACTGTTTCCAAATTCGATTTGGCCTTTCTAAGAAACATTTTGGATTGGTGTGAACTGGCAGAAAGTACAAAGACAAGAATTTTGGTAGTTACAAATCACTACCATGATTGCTTTTTGTTCCTTAACAGGATTTAGTTGGATTATATGAGCATTATGTTTTAAATATTTTATAAGTATGTGTTTTGATTCAAATGAGGCTGTTGAGTTACTAGACCTTATAATTGATGGACATTTCTGACGAGGTCATAGAATGGCCTTATTTGAATCAAACCACATCCAGTTAGAATGGCCTTATTTGAATCAAACCACATGCAGTATCATGCCACTTAAGGATAACCAAACAGCCTCTGTGGGTATACATGTGTGAATGTCTGTTTTTGACATGCATGGCATTTATTCATGATCCTCTTAAACATACCATAATATTTAGAGCTAACGGGAGAGATTAGAAGTGCCAAATCTGGGAACATTTTTCTTTCCTGAAATAAAAAGCGAAATGAAATGAAAGCATGCGTTCATTTGTGAAAGCAAGTTGTTACTCATTAGCATGCATAAACGTTAAGAGAAACGGCCGTGTATGTAGTACATAAATTGAAAACGACATTCTAAAAATAGCAAATTTATTTGGGTCTACCTGGTTCTTTACTTCTATGCAACATGAAGTTAAAGTGTTTTTAAAGGGTGGTGTATGATTTGTCCTTGCTTATTGATGATAATGAAGGACGCACAAGCATTCATTGCATACTAATGGTTTACCAAACTGCAACAACAACATGATCATATTATACATATTTGTCAATTCATGTAGAAACAATAGGTAAATTTTGCAGCGAGTCCAGTTCTTCTGGTGTTAATTGTAAGTCAGGGTCAAGCAGGATTCTCTTGGTAGCACAACTTATAACAATGATAGGTTGCATCAACTTGAAAGTGGTTGCCATCCTTATCCTTGTGCACAGGAGAATACTTTCCAATGACAGTAACACATAGGTCACCAGTCTTAAAAACATGCTTCATGCAGCCTTTACATTTTGGCTTAGGTCCACCTTGAAGTGACATACTTTGCAGTTTCCACTCAGTACTCTTTTTCGTCGGTGGTTTATGCATATTGGCTTGTATATGATGTGGATAGTAACAATTATGTCATCCTCATGACATTTGCAAACAAATCTGCAGTTAACTTCGGTAATTGAAAGATGTTACACAGAGTCTATAACAGTTAGTGAGTTCCAGAGATCTGGTAAATTCTTGAGAATGCCTTGTTTTTGTGTGTTCTGAGCAGAGTATGACTGGTAGATTGATCAACGTCGTTGTGTAACAGATTGCAACATTTCTGTAGAGTGTAGATCCAGAGCAAAGTTGATCAGCAAATTCTTCTTGTTGCTCATAGTAACTCTTGCAAATCCCCTTTTCAAAACTAGGGCCATTTCCAGGTTTTATTTTTCCTGATTGAATTGGTGGTGTGTTGAAGTGGTGATGTGGTATAAAGCATTCACATATGTTGCCCAAAATAAGCGGACGTTTTTTTACCAACACGCAGAGCACAGTTCTATCAATCATTGTCTTTTAAGTTTACCCTACTGTGTGTAGCCTTTGATCCTTCCATCGACTTTTATCATTGTGTCATGCATTGTTTCAGAAATACGTCTAGTCTTTAGCATTGAATCAATATTATAGACATGACTATAGACGCTTGTGAATAGTGACAATAGCATTACAACAACGACAATGGCATTATGCTTGAGCATACTCAATAGTGACATCTAAGATTTCATTCATTGAGTTTCGCTTTGATAAATATTTACAACTCTTTCACTAAAGCCTACAGTATAGTTTTAAAAAGCCATAGTATGGTTTAAAACTTTTATGATGCAAAATGCGACCATTGTTTTGTTTAATTATATCAACTTAAAAAAGAAAACAATTTGACACCGGAAATTAATGACAGATTATGAACTGTGATCACAGTTAAATAAGCGTGCACTGATTGAAACATATTGATTTATTGGGTTCTCACCACTGATCGGTTCTCACATACTCTGCCTGTTAAATTGTCTACCATCGATTCCAGTGCTGTATTTCAAAATGTCACAGAACAGAAAAAGAAAATCTTGTACAAGCTTCGATTTTGATGTGGTTCGTGCTGGCCTTATTGCAGAAGTTAGTCGCACACACAAATTTCAGGGACATATCATTGAATTGTGTGGCATTGAAATGAAGGCCATACTGGAGAAAGATTACGACCTTTGAGAAAATGAGATTCTAAATATTATAGCTTTGAAGCTCATAGTTCAAGGTCTCAAGCAACCATTGATTATTATATTTTTGGACCTATCAAAAGCTTTTGATAGTGTTCAACATGATATCTTGTTAAAAAAATAATGGACTTAGGAGGAGTAACATCAGAAGTCCTCAATTGTTTCAAAAACTACTTGTTTAATAGATCACAATATGTTTGTATGGGTACTGCAACATGACGTGTGCTGCCTTAGAACATGGAATCCTTCAAGGGTCAGTGCTTTTGCCATTTCTTTTTATATTTATACTGACAGCCTGCCATTAACCACTAAATCATGTAATCTAGAATCATTTGTGGATGACTCGAAAACTTTCATAACTTCTGTATCAAGCATAAACTGTTCCCTTGACGCCATAGAAGAAGACATACAAATGATATTTCAATGGTGTTGTAACCATAGTCTTCTGATAAATCTGGAAAAAACCCAAAATGCTGATAATTGGATCATGATAAATGATGCAACAGATACAGACTCCAACTAAGATAAACTTCATAAGCAAAAATCTTACACCGATAACGGAAGTGGAAGATCTTGGTATGTTACTCAATTCTCTCTTATCGTACAATAAACATATTCAGGCCTTATTGTCTTCTTGTATTTCTAAATTAGGCCAAATCAACAGGGTGAAATGTTTATTTGACAAGAAGACCCTCGCTATGACTATAGATGCATTGGTAATGAGTAAAATCAATTACTGTTCATCCATATGCTCTAATACATCAGAAGGTAATATTGACAAAATTCAGTTAATTCAAAATTATGGTGCCAGCATAATATCGGGTGTACAGAATGTGATCATATATCTGCAACAATAAGTGCACTTGGATGGCTACCAATATATGTACTATTAATGTTTAAATGTATAAATGACCAAGCTCATTCATATCTCTGTGTTAAATTCAAACAAAAGGGACCAAGTTCAGGATTGTAATACAAGAAATAATGAAGATTTAGATATCCCAAAGTTTCGGACTTGTAATTTTAATAATTTATTAAATTTGCCAGATAGTATTAACAGTTATTACAAAGATGTGAATCATAATCTTTTAAAACCTGAGTGTACTGGACAAAGAACTTTCAAGTATAGATATATAAAATTATGGAAGGAACTTGATAAAGAGACAAAATTAATAACTAATCTAAACAGTTTTAAAGTAGAACTCAAGACTGACCTAGTGAAGAAACATTGATAGTGAACTTTTTCATGTTTTAATTAAACCACACAAAGATACAGTTTGTTCTCAGAATTTTATATTAGATAGATTTTAGATTAGAGAAATTCTTAAGTAGTGTGTAGAAATTTTCTTACATTTATACCTCTTAAATTGTCATTGAAAAACCCATTTGGGAATGTCAATGAAGAAGAAGAAGAAGAAAAAGAAGAAGAAAAAGATGAAAACCTTATTTGAATTTTTTATGTATATATACAATTGTAAATCTCACTACTGACTTAGGTAATTTACAATTGGCTACATGAATCACAGAATACTACATATGTACTATTTACAGTAAAAACAAGAATAAAATGGGTACCATAGAAAGGGGTGAATTGGGACACTGGTTTGAATTGGGACAGAAATTTAGTGAATTATATTATCCTTGAGATTGCTCTTTAAATAAGCATGACTTTAAAAAAAAATTGGGGAATAAATAATGAGTACAAGTAATTACAATATAAACAGCTACTTTAAAGTTTACAACTTTACTTTGCCAAAAAACCAATTATTCCTCAATTTTAAATTTGTTACATTTTGTATTTTCTTTAAAAATTTACCTGATTACATTTTACAAATCTTACATTTTCTAAAATTTCCAATTAATTTTGAAAATTCCCACAGTCAGTTGGTCAGCGACAAGAATGAGCATGTTTAGCGATCATAAACTTCATGTTATATTAGTTTTATCTGAATGAGGGTATTTTGGGGGTGAATTGGGACAAATTAGGACATGTTATTGCAACATTTGAAACCACGCGACGGTTGAAAAATTTGAATTTCAAGCAACATTTTTTCCATCTTTAAATCGTCTTGCTTTGATGAGGAAATATAAAAGAGTTATAGGCTCAAAAAAAGGCACTATGGGGATTTTTCGAAATTTTCACTTCAAAATGCTGTTGAAGCTGTAAAAAATGGTATGACAGTTCGTGGTGCAGCAAGCAAATGAGTACAACATTCCAAAATCTACTTTGCATCGAAAATGTAGAAAAATGGAAATGAAGACTCCTGGTGGCCAATTATGCCTCACAACAGAAGAAGAAAACATAATTGTAAAGCACCTAATCGTTGTTGGTGATTGGGGATTTCCCTTTTCAAGGTTAGATTTACGTTTATTAGTCAAATCTTATTTGGACAAATGCAATAGGACTGTCAAACGGTTCAAGGAAAATCTGCCAGGTGATGAATGGGCAAAGAGTTTCATTAAGTGCCATGCAAAAGATATACGATCACGGTTATGTCAAAACATCAAAACAACACATGCAGAGATGAGTAGAGAGGAATTTGTGAAGTACTTTGATAATTTGAAAGATGTCCTGGATGGTGTTCCCTCTGAAAATATTTTGAACTATGATGAGACCAACTGAATGACTGAATGACCCAGGCCAAGAAAGACTGATTTTCAAACGAGGTAAAAAATATCCGGAACAGATTATGAATTCCACAAAGGGAAGTACAAGTATTATGTTTTCTGGAACTGCTTGTGGTGAGCTTTTACCTGTGTGTGTGGTGTACAAGGCGATAAATATGTGGAACACATGGACAGTTGGTGCTCCCAAAGAGGCACGCTATAATCATTCCAAAAGCGGCTGGTTTGATATTGTCAGCTTTACAGATTGGTTTAGAACAATTGTTTTGCCATGGGCCCGTAAAAAGGCTGGTCAAAAAGTTATTATTGGTGATAACCTTTCTAGTCAGCTTGTGTGAAGAACACAACATCTCATTTGTGTGTTTAGTTCCCAATAGTACGCATTTGTCACAACCGCTTGATGTGGCATATTATGGTCCACTTAAGAGAAACTGGCGAGCGATATTAAAGTCATGGAAAATGAGAAATCCAAGTTCAACTTCTCTTCCAAAAGATGAATTCCCAAAGCTGTTAAAAGAATTGGTCGAATCACTTAATAATGACAATTTAATATCTGGCTTCAAAACATGTGGTATATATCCAATTAAGGTGGCTCCCTACAGTTTTCTAAAATTTTAAGTATTTTAGGTAGCCTTCGTTTTGAACCAAATTTATATTGAAAACACTTAAGACAGGGCAATATAATCATTTCCAGGAAAGTTCAGAAGTCTTCTGCTGTCGATATATGAACAAATAGGAACAGTGTTAGTGTTGTCATGGCAACCATGACGTTTTATCTTTTGCACTTTTATTGTCTAATTTTACAATCAAACGGCATTATCTTTTTTTTCCTTCGGTCAATTTTTCTGAATTTTTTTTTTAAGATTTATGGTTGAAAGGGGAATGACATATTAAAATTTGAAGGGATGTTTATAAGGCAGGTTTTGAGATATTCATGAATAACCACTACACAAAATCTGTCTTATAGAATTTCTTGAAATTTTGATATGTTTGGCGAATCGTCATGCTTAGCAAACGTGCAAAGTTTAAAAAACTTTCACCGAAGGAAACGCGAGAAAAATAGTCCTAAATCCAGTTGAAGCTGTTGACGTGACAAAATATCGATTCGACATGATCACTATTTGCGTGGGGAACACGAAACGCGTACGGTTTATAGTTGGCTTTTTTAGCAATTTTCTCTTTGAGTTTTTGGCTTATATGTATCACACAGATATTTTTTACTTATTTGAAATGAAAATAAAAGATATATGTATTCAAAATACGAAACATTGAGAACACAATAACGCACTGACTTAATCCAACGCTTCTTAAATTTAGTTTTGTTATGAAAATCGGTGTGAAAACTTTTCAAAACATTCAAGTAGAGTTTGACTTTTCGTATAAAACAACTCGTAACTGTCTGCATTATAATTTTATTGGATTCAGCAGATAAAAAACTACATGTGAACTGAGTTGAATGACAGGGGTTACGTAAGTTTCAGTGACAATTCAGGAGTGCCTTCAAGACAGTATAAAATATAATTTCAGTCCGTGACACTGTTGTTGAACATTGTGAGCATTATGAAATACAGTACTGAACATATTAAATATATAAAAAAACACACTGAATGTAGGTAAAACTAGCTAACAACATACGTACTGTTCGAATGTTGAAAAGTTTAGGATTATAATAAAAAACTGGCGTTTTCTTTGTAGATAAAATACAAAAACAACTTCCCGCGGCTTGTTTACTTGTTTCAAGATTTTTACCGGGCCACGACGATTCCACGCGCGAGTCGCGAGGATGACGTCTGAGCTATATAAATATTTTAAACTGGACTATAACTGTAGGGAGCCACCTTAAACTAAACCAAATTGTCTGAAATTTTGTACAGTAATTAAAAACCCAACAAATTTTCCATCTATTAACTCAAAATATGATTACAACTTTTAAATTTTGTGCGCGAGCCATTTTTAGTTTGTTGGAAAAGACACACACCCCTGGTTCACAAAATTTGAGTTCGAGAAATTTTTTTCATTATTTTACATTATAAGTACCCAAAGAAGCTATATATATAAAAAAACAGATACAAATAGCTGTTTTGCGAAATTGAGAGCAATTTTAAATCTGTTCAGTTTTTTTTTATACACCCTGTAG